GGCTGAAGGATTGCAATATTTGCATGGAGCTGACCCTGCAGATAGCACTACTGGGTGATCTGAAAAGTCATAGTCAATCGATCAATAATATAATAATACTTTTAGCAAAGATGTTTATTTTCAATTCACAAACTGTAGAAACAATGAGAATAGAAAGGTTCATAACTTTTGTAAAACATCACAGTACAGTTGAAAAATATATGGCAAATATAAATCCAATATGGATGGTGTTAAGAGATAGATGGAAGGTGTTGAATGGACCTGAAGGATGGGACTAATAACAACAACTAATAACCACAAGATAACTAGTGTAAGACATGCTGTGTCCATAATAAGTATATAGGTTATATATTGTGAGCTTTTGTGAAAGAGCACAGTTAGAAAGATATGGCATATAGAAGCATACCAGATGGACATCATGAAAATGATCGGAGGAAGTTCAGGAGTAAAAACAAACAAAATATAATTAGTGACTGTGTCCATAAAATGTATATAGTATGTATAAGCATGAAGTAGAGGCCTAAGCATTGTTGTTCACTAGTTTACTCCAATTAGGGAGGGGATGGTGGGGTTGGAAAGTAATAAAGGGAAATATATATATTTTTAAAGGATATATATGTATATATGTATGTATGTGTATATATATATGTGTATGTATGTGTATATGTATGTATATATATATATATATATATGCGAGAAAAAAACAAAAGAAAAAAACATATGGGGGATTGGAAGTGATGCAGACAATTACATTGATGGAAGTTACAATCTATCTGCAATATTAAAGCTGATCTACCCCCTAAAGAAATGTATATAAAAAAAACATATATATATATATATATATATATTTAAAAATTTGACACACATTTATTTTAAAAAAAACACATTTTAAAAGCGTAATCTTGGAGCTCAGATTCTGTGTGGTAAACATGACATCTGTCATGGGTTTTCATGCTGCAGTACGACAAAACTACCTATCAAAATATCAAAAGTCTCCTTACCTTAATATCAAAATAAGGTTTTGTGAACAGATCTGTCAGTATATCCAAATGAAAATGTTTTAAAAACATGTAAAGCAGGAAAAGTTAATCAGAGAATCCGCCTAGGAGAGTGTGTCAAGCTGGTGACTGTTGTGATTGTGCAGTCAGTCAGTCAGAGTCTCTCTCTCTCTGTCTATGCATGTGCAGCAGACTAGCCCCCTCTCATCTAGGACTGACTGCTTCTGTATTTACTCTTAGCTGACTTATCTCAGTCTGGCTCTAACCTGGGGAGGGAAGCCTCCTATTGCCATTATGTGGAGAAAATAAATTGGTGTATAGACCAGATCTTCATGTTTTCATACAGCAGGTTCTCATTTTAAACTATACTTTTTGTATTTGAATCACAATCAAGACATCTTCAACTGAGCCGACCAAGCATTTTGGTAACCATAAATATGATCTTCTTTGATCATAGTGACCAATAATCAAACAGATACCCCATCCATTGTTCTTACATCTGACAGATAGCATTGTGAAAAGGTGATAATTGTGTCTACAACTCATTTTTATTTATTTATTTCACCTTTATTTAACCAGGTAAGCTAGTTGAGAACAAGTTCTAATTTACAACTGTGACCTGGCCAAGATAAAGCAAAGCAGTGCGATAAAAACAACAACACAGAGTTACATATGGAACAAACAAAAATGTACAGTCAATAACACAATAGAAAATCTATATACAGTGTGTGCAAATGTAGTAAGTTATGGAGGTAAGGCAATAAATAGGCCATAGTGCAAAATAATTACAATTTAGTATTAACACTGGAGTGATAGATGTGCAGATGATGATGTGCAAATAGAGATACTGGGGTGCAAATGAGCAAAATAAATAACAATGTAAATAACAATATGGGGATGAGGTAGTTGGGTGGGCTAATTACAGATGGGCTGTGTACATGTACAGTGATCGGTAAGCTGCTCTGACAACTGATGCTTAAAGTTAATGAGGGAGATGTGTCTCCAGCTTCAGAGATTTTTGTAGTTCTTTCCAGTCATTTGCAGCAGAGAACTGGAAGGAATGGCGGCCAAAGGAGGTGTTGGCTTTGGGGATGACCAGTGAGATATACAGTGGGGAAAAAAAGTATTTAGTCAGCCACCAATTGTGCAAGTTCTCCCACTTAAAAAGATGAGGGAGGCCTGTAATTTTCATCATAGGTACACGTCAACTATGACAGACAAATTGAGGAAAAAAAATCCTGAAAATCACATTGTAGGATTTTTAATGAATTTATTTGCAAATTATGGTGGAAAATAAGTATTTGGTCACCTACAAACAAGCAAGATTTCTGGCTCTCACAGACCTGTAACTTCTTCTTTAAGAGGCTCCTCTGTCCTCCACTCGTTACCTGTATTAATGGCACCTGTTTGAACTTGTTATCAGTATAAAAGACACCTGTCCACAACCTCAAACAGTCACACTCCAAACTCCACTATGGCCAAGACCAAAGAGCTGTCAAAGGACACCAGAAACAAAATTGTAGACCTGCACCAGGCTGGGAAGACTGATTCTGCAATAGGTAAGCAGCTTGGTTTGAAGAAATCAACTGTGGGAGCAATTATTAGGAAATGGAAGACATACAAGACCACTGATAATCTCCCTCGATCTGGGGTCCACGCAAGATCTTACCCTGTGGGGTCAAAATGATCACAAGAACGGTGAGCAAAAATCCCAGAACCACACGGGGGGACCTAGTGAATGACCTGCAGAGAGCTGGGACCAAAGTAACAAAGCCTACCATCAGTAACACACTACGCCGCCAGGGACTCAAATCCTGCAGTGCCAGACGTGTACCCCTGCTTAAGCCAGTACATGTCCAGGCCCGTCTGAAGTTTGCTAGAGTGCATTTGGATGATCCAGAAGAGGATTGGGAGAATGTCATATGGTCAGATGAAACCAAAATATTACTTTTTGGTAAAAACTCAACTCGTCGTGTTTGGAGGACAAAGAATGCTGAGTTGCATCCAAAGAACACCATACCTACTGTGAAGCATGGGGGTGGAAACATCATGCTTTAGGGCTGTTTTTCTGCAAAGGGACCAGGACGACTGATCCGTGTAAAGGAAAGAATGAATGGGGCCATGTATCGTGAGATTTTGAGTGAAAACCTCCTTCCATCAGCAAGGGCATTGAAGATGAAACGTGGCTGGGTCTTTCAGCATGACAATGATCCCAAACACACCGCCCGGGCAACGAAGGAGTGGCTTCGTAAGAAGCATTTCAAGGTCCTGGAGTGGCCTAGCCAGTCTCCAGATCTCAACCCCATAGAAAATCTTTGGAGGGAGTTGAAAGTCCGTGTTGCCCAGCGACAGCCCCAAAACATCACTGCTCTAGAGGAGATCTGCATGGAGGAATGGGCCAAAATACCAGCAACAGTGTGTGAAAACCTTGTGAGGACTTACAGAAAACGTTTGACCTGTGTCATTGCCAACAAAGGGTATATAACAAAGTATTGAGAAACTTTTGTTATTGACCAAATACTTATTTTCCACCATAATTTGCAAATAAATTCATTAAAAATCCTACAATGTGATTCTCTGGATTTTTTTTTCTCATTTTGTCTGTCATAGTTGACGTGTACCTATGATGAAAATTACAGGCCTCTCATCTTTTTAAGTGGGAGAACTTGCACAATTGGTGGCTGACTAAATACTTTTTTCCCCCACTGTACCTGCTGGAGTGCATACTACGGGTGGTTGTTGCTATGGTGACCAATGAGCTAAAATAAGGTGGGGATTTGCCTCATCAACTGTACTGTACATTTCTCAAAGTAAATGACAAGCGTATTGGGTTTGCCAATGATCAGATAGTTCAACCACTGTGGTCCTGGGCCAAGCTACAGTGAAAGGAGGTTGTTGTACCTGGAAGACATCTGGATGAACTCTCCACATTGAACTGAAGGAAACAGTAAGGTAGCAGTTTATGGAAACGGTTCTAAAGCAGCGCTTTCAGTGCTCTTAACTTCAATCATCCTGAAAATAGACTACATGTCTTACAATGAGAACGTTATGGCTCTAACAGCTCTTAAAGTCATTGGCCAAATAGCTTCCAAGTTTCATAAAGAATTTCCGTTATTCAGGTTTATGAGGTAAGGAAAGGATGACAGAATTAGTGCCAAAGCCGGAGAAAAACTAGGCCTTTTAGTCCTTGACTTTTCCCTTTGGTTGTCATCTTATAGGCCTACCAATCAGTGATGTACCACAATAATGCTATACTGGATGTCTCAAACCCCTTTTCAGAAATCTAACCGTAGCCCCTGCCTTAGATAAGTGTATACCATAGTAAAATGAGAATGCAACACAGCATGTTACTTATGAATCCAAAATAAAAACACATGGTCCGTCTGTCAATGAAATGTGCTTTTAATAGACAAATAAATATCACTTCTGTGTCTTTTTATGCTGCAGTTGGTTAAATGTGAGTTTGAGTCCTCAGAGGACATCCCCCTTTTGGGGAACAGCTTGCCAATAACTGCATCCGGCAGAGCAGACCGGTCTGCTTACATTGGCTTAATTGAAAATACATGACCACCTCTTTTTCCTTTATTGGAAACAACACAGATATAAGACCAAATGTACAAGTCATAAAACTCAACCTTTAAACTGAACACAGCCCTGTTGTAATAATTCAGGATAATGACAGTTTTCCATACACACTAAACAATAACATACGAGTAACTTGGCGAGATGACTTCTGCTCTTCAATCATGTCAGTTAGATTTCAGGCAGGTGCTTTAAATCTTTGGAATCCTTCCACGCATAGCAACACCTCATACATTTTCTCAGTGCACCCTATCCAAAAGGAAGTTGTTTGTAAAGGCAATCCAACAATGAACAGTGATCATGGGCAGAACAAAGAAACATTTTGAGTCAAGGACACAATCCTCATTAGCCTGTTTTCAGATCTGTGTGTGCTTTAGCCAACTCCTCTGACTGTAATCGTCATGCCATATATGACAACGCACATACAGATCTGGGACCAGGCTAAATCATACTCTCACAAGTACTTGCTTCATAGACTATGGAAACATGTTTCTGGTGGGTGGCCTTTGGACTAGGACTGACAGTAGAGTACATGTACAAGCACAGCTTAGTACAATAAAAATATATCCGCTATTACACTCACTACTAGCACCCTCATATTTTAACGCCGTTGCATATCACTTTCCTGCTCGATATTTCAACTGTAGATCAGTGAAAATAAATAACTCCAAATAAACAGTATAATGAATAAACAGTATCACAGTAAACGGTAAGTAAGTAAATGTGTATAGGTTAAATCTTTTGGAAAGAATCAGTAGTATTGGGTCCTGGGTCAAATTATATGTATTTTTTAAATTCATTAAAATACTGCTAACACCACACACCCAGTGTGACAGTTATCAAATGCCAACTATAAAATGCATAGTGTATTGGAAAGAAAACCAGTAATATTTGTTGTCTCAGGTCTGGTTGGAATGTCCGGTTGCTGTAGTAACAAGTGGGTCCAGTCGGTCAGCAGAACAGCAGCCCAGGTTCTTCATGCTATGTAGGGTGCCCCGTAGGGGGGAGGAGCGTTCTTGGATGGAATAGCCATGGTGTCGTCATATGGGGGTAACAGTACCTAGGAATACAGAATAAAGGGAGAGTTCAGAGTCTTCTAACGTGTGACTGACAACAGACATCAAAGTGCTATTTAACTGTGACATGGTTGAGAATATTGGTTTTTGTCACTGGCAAAGACTACAGGCAGCAATATAGTAGGCTGCATATTGGTGTAATTCCAAACTGCAGTTGGTCAAATATACTCATGAGGATAAAGTGAAAATAGTGTGAGCTCCCGGAAGTGACACTCAACCATGATGGCCATATATAGAGGATGACAGAGGATTCCAAACAGATATGTAATGATTATATAATAGTCTGGATGAGAGAATAGAGCGAGATGAGAGAAGAGGGAGAGGGAGAAAGGGGGGCCATTAATGAATATGGTACAAGTCTTTTGAGAGGCCAAATTTATAGAGGGGGCCATGAATGGATTTGGTCCAAATCTATTGGAGCAGGTCCAGACTGAATCAGTGACACAATGGTGAAACAGAGTGATATTCAGTTTGGATTCCAGGATGTGAATGTGGTTCTCAGACAGCAAGGCAAGTCCACTGCAGACCTATCTGACTGACATGAGTCAAGTTCAGTCAGCCAGTTCCTCTATGTCTTTGATTAGGAAAAGGGAGAACTCTGTCTCATATATTTTCTCTTCAGACTACTACACACTCTCTGGGGAACCAACCAAATACTATCATCGGAAATGGCTGGCCGTGTGTGTGTGTGTGTGTGTTTGTGTCTCAGATGTATATAACCCATCCTGGTTTTCCTACCGACACAGAGACATACTGTAGGCAACATCTATGATTTAATGCATTTCTGATGGACCACACTGGCAGAGGATACTGCAACATATGGCTAGAGTATGGCGTTTTCATCCTCACACACACAACAGTAAGGCACTGGTTAGGGGCATAACAGCATTACAGTCCAGACTGGAGTCCATGTCATGGTGGACCTTTCTGATCTCAGACCAGTGATTTAACACTACACATTGTGCTTGATGACCTGAAGCTATACATCATAGGGTGGTTTCCTAGACACAGATAAAGTCCAGTCCTGGACTAAAAAGCAATGTGTGTCCGGAAAACCGCCCCTCGGTGGCTCCGCTCAGTTCAGACATACAGACTTTCCTAATATGGAAGGCATCACATCTACAGTAGGATATTCCCATTATTGTCTTACGTCAGATAGCGCGACTCCATCTGCGCTGATCGAGGGCTTAGCGTCGTGTAGGAGTGACGCCACCTGTCAGAAGGCAATATCCCTGATTATAATACCCTGTCAATAATACACAGATGGTTGCAGTCTACCGTTCTCCCTGAAGTGTGCACTCTTCCAATCCCCACTATGGATTTAAAAGGAATGGACTGGTGTAGGAAACTCCTGCTAACTCCCTAATCCACAACTTTTAAATTCAGGAGGGGAGTGAGGGAGTGCACACTTCAGGAGGAAAGTAGGGAATCAGAACACACCCGTAGACTGGTGGTTTAAATTCTAAACCATAACTACCAGCCTTAATTGAAAGGCCTACGGATAGCAAGGAAGGCAGCATGTTGTTTTTCTAGCACGTTTGACTAATGATTTTAATGGTTAAAAAGAGAAGTCTCGTCCCTTTATAGCTCAGGTGTTTTACACATCAGGAGCACCAGAAGGGCCTCAGCTTCTCTAGACCAAAACATCACGTCATTCCTCCACATCTGGGGTAGGCAACTATTTTTATTTAACTAGGCAAGTCAATTAAGAACAAATTCTTATTTACAATGACGGCCTACCAAGAGGCAAAAGGCCTCCTGCGGGGATGGGGGCTGGGATTAAAAATAAAAACGTAGGACAGAAACACACATCACGACAAGAGACACCACTACATAAAGAGAGACCTAAGACAACACAACATGGTAGTAACACATGACAACACAGCATGGTAGAAACACAAATTGACAACAACATGGTAGCAACACAACATGGCAGTAGCACAACATGGTAGCAGCACAAACGTGGTACAAAAACTAGATTGCGATTTTTGGTAGGTGGGGATGTCTGGGGCCGGAACATAATAATAATAATTTGTACACTGCAAATTGTCCACAACTAAGCCCGAAAAGAGATTGTATCACGTCTTTTTTTTTTTCTGTGGGAATACTTGAACAGATTTCATAAATGAAACTAATTTTAGCTGAATTCCTGGTGATAACTTTTGGTTATCCGCCTGTAGCCGACACGTGCTCTACATGTTCAAAACAAACCTTGAGCATCATGAACCAGTCATAGTGGCTTGGAATTTAAGGTTTATATTCTGGGAACAAATAAACACCCAATTTACATAAACCTACTTCATCCCTTTTGAATATCAAACTCGTCAATTACAATATTATACAGTGACTTTCTACTGGTGGAACAAAAAGTCCTGATAATGGGATTCTTCTAACTCTCATCGTAGAGGTACACACACTGTTCTGACAACCCCTCACTCTCCTCTCCTACACCTCCCTCGTGACATCCGTTTCCCCCGGGCTAGTTGGATGAGCAGTGTTGCAATGGTCTGATAGTTAAACTAGGTCCTCCCCTCACTAACGCCATGTTTTCAGGCAGTATTTCTCCCCTCCCCTGGTTCATCAGTGGATAACGTGTTGTAATATCTGCAGCAGAAGCAGAGGATAAGCAGCCAGGTGGCCAAGCTTGGGCTATATGATACCAGTGAGTGAGTGAGAGAGAGCTTTTCATTGAGTTGGCAGCCAATGTACCGTAGCCATATTAATGAGTTTACCAGTGTGGACTGGAGCCCCTTACTACAGCCCTACGTTATACTTCCTTCCTACTCCAACATGATGGCTTTACTGTTGGAATGCGCTCTCCCTCGCAGTCTTGAGAGGAACCTAACCGACGCATAATATGAACCTGATCCATGACCTGGAATAAGTGAATCCTTTTTCCATTGGATGTGAGGTTATGTTTTCTTTGGAAACACACAATAGCATCACACCGAGATAAGATAAATGTTTTATGATTTGTACTTTCTCCAGAATGCAAAGCACAAAGCAGAGGGAGTTTATGAGGAAGAAAGAGAGGGATGGGTAATTATATAATAGATTAGATATATCATATGAATACAAATAGATATATTATGATAGTACAGCACTGGTAAACATCTAGATTGTTTTTAACTCTGCAAGCAAAGGGTTAGAGTGAATAACAGAGACAGTATCTTTTTTTCAGCGTCTCTTTGATTTGGAAATTACAACATATTATTGTAGGAGTAAATGCAATGGCAATATTTGTGGAAAAACATAACTGTCAAAAAGGTGGTTAGCATTCACAGAGGTGGTCTTGTCTGGAGTATTTCCATTTCTTGCAAACCCAACTCACTGAACAGAGGAAATATACTACACTGTATTACACTGTAGTAACTACAGCAGACTGGTAGAAAATAAATAAACAAACCCACCATGTCATAATGTAGGAATGCAAACTTAAGAAATTGTCATCATTTATGTATTGTACAGCAATTGAAATAGATATTTGTATCCTGTGACTTACCGTGGTGTCATTAGTAGTGACGTATATCAAGACTTCTGTGGTGCTTCTTGCGCGCACATACCGGTAGCAGTTCCACACACACGCTATCAGGTACGCCTGAAAAGGGAAAACCATTATCAAAGACATTAAAGAAAATAACTATCAACAGTTGACATTATTTAATGTTCAGTATCTAAGGCTCAATATTAATCTTAATCCAAAAGGGGTACTGTCTAGCTAATTCAGAAAATTTTAAGACTCAATCTCCAGCCCCATGCAGAGGGGTTTCATTCATTCAGAAAATTACAAGACTCAATCTCCAGCCCATTGTAGAAATATATAGTATAGTACAGCTCACTCAGGAGAGTGGCACAAAAACAAGCTTTCATTGTTCCCTGACATCCTAACATCCTCACTCTCAGTGAGCCGTACGGTAGCTTTCTGGGGTTCAGTCCTGTCCAGCCAAACACAACACCATCTGGTAAAGCAGTCGGCTCCTATAAGACAGACTAGGACTGAGCTCAGCTGTATATCCCACTGCACACACCACTTCAATGAATTGACACCTGTCACTTTTACAGGCTCTTCAACAATATTCAGTATAAACTGTAGACCTCCATATGGTATATACTGTCTGTAGACATTCTGTAAGCGATTCCAAGAGAGATTACTCAATGTGTTCAACTCACAGACAATCGTCAATCCTCTGGGGATGATATGCTTGTAGAGGTAGCAACATCTATACAGAACAAGTATCACTCACTGACAGCTGAGCTACACATCAACCCTTACTTTTGGATTGGACCAGAAGTAATAGAAATGAGTCGTCATCCTCATTACTACAGCGTTCATACAGTATATTTGGTCTCAGTAAGGTATCTCCACAGTTTTACAGGATGACACAGAGCCTTACTGAAGTCTATCAAAATAAACCACATCTTCTTTCTCTCAATCTGTTTCCCTCCATCTGGATGGTCTTTGTACGACGCAGGAGTTCTGTAGAAGCAGCCTAATAGAACTGGTAGGCCATTTAGAGGGGCTTTTACGATGCCATAAAACAGAGGTGTGTAGTGTGGCGGGACGTTGGCATCATCTGGCAGTTTGTCAGAGCTAATGTGAAAGCTCTCTAACCTGGATGGGCCAAGAGCAACACTGACGAGGGCCCTGCCTCAATGGCTCCCATTATAGTGTTATGAAAACAACAGCCTTGTGAAACGGCTCCTGCCAGACATTTGAACCGCTGCAGGACCCTCTGTCCTGTCCCCAAGGGTTTCTGCCATAAAAATAACCTGAATAATTCCCCCAGATGAGCACCATTTTCCTCTCTCACACAGCATAAGCACTGTTTTGTCACTCACAGACATTAAGTAACGAAAATTACACAATGTGTTAGGAATTTGTGGTAGGGAAATCTGTGTGTGTGTGTGTCAGTTCAGTAGCAGTTACCTTGAAGGTGAGGATGCATCCGATGAAGAGGAGCACGATGAAGACCAGGCACACGTTGCTCATGGCCATGATATCCTCTTTGTAGGGGAAGTTCTCAGGCTGTGAGGGTGACACCAGACAGTCAGACAGACAAAAGGAGCTGCAGTGAGATTGGGGGTAAAGAGTGTGGAGGGTGCGGGGAGTGTGGAGATATTGGCTACCTCCAAAATGGCACCCAATTCCTTATATGGCACTTTATTAGAATAGGAGTTGGACTTTGGAGTCCTTCTTACCAGCTGTTGGAGGTAATCTTGTATGGTGTTGGGGTAGACCACAATACTAACAGCCACCAGGGTGTTCAGTGCACAGTCAAAGACTTGGTAGCAGAAGAATGGGATGATCCAAGCAGCATGTTGCTGAAACAGGAAAACCAGTTTTATGTTAGCCATGAGGGAATAGCATCTGAAGAGCTGCAGCTGCAGGAAAGGTTAATATATCTATCTATCTGGAAAAAACAGAGATTCAAACAAAACGTTCTGACCGATGCATTAAATGTAAATCAATGTGTTTCTGGTGGGAGGTTTGGTGAACTTACTCCAGTGGGACCCAGCCATTCAAGACCATGTCTGTAAATCTTCATTTGAATGGTTTTTTAAAACTACATTTGGACAATAAAGTTTAAACTACATTTGGACAATCCTCTTAGTGTCTTTATTTGTATTCATTCTTATGAGAGCAGACATAGTATACCAGTACAAGCAACAGCAGAAAGCTATTGATATGTGACGTTTGCTTACCTTATATGCACCGTAGGTCGCCATTCCAGAAATTAGTATCATCAGCAACGAGATCGCTGAAGCAATACACATGTCTGGAATAGAAGGGAAATCATACTGTATTACAAGGTCTGCATTCAAATAAATTAATAACTGTCGCAAATGATGAGAAAAATCACAGTTTTGTCCTTGGGTGGTGATTGAATTAATCTCACAGTAATTTATAAACTTATAATAAGCTCAGTTCATTCCTAGTTTGACACTGACTATGTGAAAATGACCCAACTTGCTCTGTGCAGATGTGACCTGATCTTGATACTTCATGATACCATGACATTGAGTAGATTTCACAGAAAACTAAAATACTATGTCACCGACTGTCAGCGTCACAGTAATCCTGTCCATCTGTGCACAGCCCAGAGAACACAGTAGTCTGCTCCGACAGAACAGAACAGAAGCCAGTCTACTTTAGTTCTGTAACTAGCCTGAACTGAATCACTGCCTGCCTCGTAGAAATGTGCCATTCCACCTATCATGGCACATTGATTTGAACAGGGATGGCCGTTCTAGTAATTCTATTTCTATGGCCTGCCTAATGCAGGGCCAGCTGGACCAATGGCAAAAGGGATCACAGGACGGCTTAATCTGACCTGAACTGGGTCAACTCAGTCAGTTTCAAATCAGACAGTACTGTACCGACAGCCAGTGGCAGACTTGTCAATTCGGCCAGCATATGCTGCTAAGGTTAATTTACAACCTGGGCAAGACCTAGCTGATTTAACAAGTTTGTGAAAATACACAACACAGCTGGACATTAGACATGCGTGCCCACGGACTGAGAGATTTGATTAACTTTACTGTGAAGTGAGAGAAATGCTGACTATTGGCTGCTTTCAATAATATAACATGATTTATAAAACCAGAAGTTTTGGCATTGATATATAATGCCATAGTAGTTTGCATCACTCTCATCACATACACAACAGACTCAGAGAGGAGTTGGCTAGAGCACAAACAGACTGGCCCGTCAGGCTACTTTGGAGGCGTGGGCAGGTCTATGCAACGTCGCACACATTTATCCCAGACATAAAGCTGTAGGCTACTTACTGGCGTCATCCATGTCATCTAAGTCGTTAGCCAGCTCAGCGCTGGTCAGATGGTACTGGTCAGGATCACCCAGGGCCGTGACGAGGATGAGCAACACCACCGCATTGATCAACTAAAGGACATTTAAGACATAAGGACCATATGGACATTTAAACTCAAACAAGATAGGAATACGATACACATTAATAGATCAACATTAGGGAAACGTTCACAACAACAAGAGGCTCCACAAGCAGTTGATCACATTAATCAGCTAAACACATAAAGACATAAGGACCAGTCAGACTGACAGGAGGACACAGATAAACAATAATAGCTCAGCCTTTATAAAAGGAATGACTTGTTCACCCAAATTACGCAATTACTTTATTATAAGAGTCCTTACTTAGGAACTATTTGGCTGTTTTCCAGGTAAGGAAGCAGTAACTCTATAATTTGAGTGAACCACCTCTTTAACTCAGCAATGTAGGTAGAGGTGGTGTTTTAACTTTGAATGAACAATACATATGCCTAGGCCCTATGTGCATAATGGAAAATTAATTATTATCATAGCCTAAAGGCTTCTACCTGACACAAGACCTGTAACCTGTCCTGAAGGGCTGAGTGTACTGAAAAATTCATGAACGTTTTTTCCAATGGCGTTAGGTTAAGTTAACCCCTTCTTGGACACCTTAGCAGAATAATTTGTACATCTACAATTAACAAAACAATCCAATAAATAAAATGTTATCACTTGCAGCCAATCACAATGAGAGACTACTTTCTGCTGGATAAACATGATCATTTAACATGGAAAAACGTACTACAAATAATAACATACCGTTTTTGTTGGTTGTTGAGCCTATCTAAATAGTGTTGTGTATAATAGCGACTATGAATGCTCACCATATACCAAACCCCCAGGATAACTGTGCCTGTGCGGACATGACAGCACAGGCAGCATCTGGTGGAATGCCATCGGTCCCACGGGGAAATCATATTTTACAATGAAAGGATGAGGAGGCACTTCACAGATGTCTAAATCTATCGGTTTATGATAAACAATCCAAATAGATCGACGTGAATTTCTTCTCCAGCGCACGTTGTCGTTGATTAGGCTACCTTTGAACTGTCAGCAATTAGTGATAACAGCTTCACCGCGGCTCTAGTGATCAACTCAAGCACGTAGCAAACATTGGACCATGTGACCTGAGCTGGATACGCTCAAGAGAGCCAGTGATGTAACTAGTTGTTTCGAGAATAATGTTCCCATCATCCCTCACCAAAGCCGGGAAATTTAAATAGTTACACTGTAGCTGCCTGCTATGTTTATTGGGATATGTTGAATAAGAATATTCACACTTCACAATAGTGCCTTTATGATCTTTATGGTAGAAATTCACACAAAGGGCATATTTGAATCTATTGCAATTGGAACATTGACAATAAAGACCGAGGTAAAGGACAAGTATCAAACACATTAAAATAATTGAACTTTGAGACATTACCATCTCCAATCAGGAAAAATGGAAGCAATTCACATATTACATTTCCATCTGAGGGAGAAAGACAAGTGGAGAAAGATTCAGGGTGCAGAACAAACATGGTCCAACATAGAACTGAGACACAATCAAAAAATTGTTTGTAGAGCACATGCCTACATTACTCAACCAATTAAGGCATCAAATTGTATTCCTGATTACTGCATCATTACCAGTACATCATTGATTAAAGCAGTTTGAAACCATCCTGTCTACAGCAGGACTAAACATTACTTTTCACTACACACCAGTCAGTTGCTAAAAAAAAAAAATAAGAGACAAATAGAGGTAACTGATTAATAGGAAAAACAATAGAAATACAAAATAGACTAATCAAATATAGAAAAGGCCTTTTATTTTTAATATTTTTACATATGGCTTGAAGCGTTTTTATTACAAAGAGGTTACAAAAGGTTGAAGACTTTTGAATCATCAACCACAGGTGGACAGGACAACACAGCCATCAATGGTAGAAGCACCTACACGGACTGAGCACAACACAGATGGTCAAAATAACAGCAAGTAACTGAAAGCATGTCTCTTTTCCATGTACAGCAGAACAGTAGAGATACCACTAACACCACCTGCACCCAAATGCTAAACATGATTCCCTTGGGTCGTGTTCATTACGCACCAAACAGTACAAAATGGACTGAAACAGGGAGGACTACCTGGACTTGTCAGATAGCAATCGCTTATTTAGTTTTCCCTTTCAAAACAGTTTGCTACCATGTGCCCTATTGAACACGACTCTGTAGTGTTGGACTTGACCATTTGAGCAGGAGTCACTGCACCAATACCGTTCACGATATAAACAGCAAACAAAAAGACTGCATAATAAAAGCCTGTAATGTTAACATGTGACTCGGCTGACTCTTCCACTATAATATTCCTCTCAAAGCCACAACATCACAATCACTATTAAATCAGGATTTATTTTTCATTTTCTAGATGTCTAATCATCAAACATGATCTTTCAAAAGATTCATTGGAATTGGAAAACAATTTTCATGTGTGTGCCCAAACTACGATATTGATCAGATTCGCAGAATTTAGCTTTACAGTTAATCTAGATCCAGTCCGCTTGACCAGGCTGCATTTTGGACATGAAGCTGGCCAGTCAGAACTCAGAAGTTTATTTATTTCAATTAATTTTTTTTTAAGGATGAACAGCGGTTGTTTAATCCAAAGTACTTTGCATATAACTTCATCATGTTCATGACTCCAACTCATGTTTCTCTTCTTGCTCGCTTCTTCTTCATCACTGGTTTGGAAGGCTGGCTCTCTTCAGGTTTTTCTATGGGGTAAAACACACAGGGAGAGAAGTCTTACAATACAATATGGGACTCTTTGTAAGACAAGATACAGGTTGTAAAAAATTAAATAGAAAAAGAGAAACAGATAAGACTTTAGAACCAGGAAGTGTGTAGAATCCATTCCAGAAGGATCACCAGGGAGTGAACATTTTTGTTCTAGCCCAGTACTACCACCTGAATCCTCCAATCAAGGGGAACAAAAAGGTGCAACCCATGGAGGTGTGGTCCTCCTGGAGTGGATTGAGAAACAGTGTAGCTGTAGAGAAGTTTGAGTGGAGGCTGAGAGAGCGAGAGAGAACTGCAGCCCTGCCTGTATACAGCCTTGTGTTTGATTAGGGTTGCAACATTTCTGTAACTTTCCCTGGTTGGAGGATTCCCGGACTTCCTGCTTATTCCCAAATTAATTCCAGGAATCTTCCAAATAGGATTTCAGGAAAACCGGGGAACTCCAGAAATCAACAGCTACACTTTGCCACAACCAGGGGACGACATCTGGTTGGGAGGAGGAAGGTGAGCAGGCAGCTTGGTGGCCCAGTCAATCACACAACATGGAGGCCCTGCATAGAAACAACGCCTAGCAGCCCATAACCCCCCTAGGCACTAATATGTCTAGATCTGAATGGCACGAGGGGAAGGTAAAGCTATTCCTCCTTTAATATTAACGTGTTTCTATTGTGATCATAGTATAGCAAGGAATGAGTGGGGATATAGACTATAGGAAAGTATAAAGTGAAGTAAGGTGTATGCAGGGATCGGACCCCAGCTGCTGGCCGACATACGTAGTCTGGGGTCTGCAGCACTACCACTAGACCAGACTCCAGTGTGATTCACATGTGGTTGTTCTGATAGACTTACTCTGTGATGGAACATGTAGACTGTTCTGCTTGGCAGTAGGCTCTGTCTCTGTGGGTTGGGGTGGCACTTGTGTGATAGGGGCTTTGTTCTGAACTACCACTGGTTGCTCCACTCTTGCCTGCAGGAAGAAGAAATCTTGGGATTAAATAGGCTATAAAGAGCTTTTGCCTCTGGGGGTGCTCATGGGCCAAAAGGGGTCCCCTAAACGGACATAAATATTGTGTCCTTAATGGCACCTTAATTCCTTTATAGTCCTTACGAGCCCTAGTCAAAAGTAGTACACTATTAGGGAATAGGGTGCCATTTGAGACCCAGCCATTGGGGAAGTCTATAGAACAGTGTCACCAACCTCCACAGCAGCAGTGTTGACAGCCTGGACAGTAGGAGCAGCAGGCTCCTGGATTGGCTGCTTCTTCACCTTGGCCTCAGTAACAACCTTTTTATTTGGCTCCTCTGATTCCTGTCAATCACAGACAGAACAAATATGAGCCAATCAGGAAGGCCACAGATAGCAATGACCCAATGAGGGACTCAGCAATGTAGTTATAATGAGTGATGGTAACAGTTTACATTAAGTTGCTCTATTCATGTGTAATAACATTAATTACTATAGTAACATTGTAAAAATGTTGTTAAGGAGTAATCCAGTAACTGATTTGTTCTTCAACTGCTTAGTCTATAGTGTTACCTGGCCAGTAACTACTGCATCTTCAGCTTGCTGCTTCTTCTTCTTCTTCTTCTTTTTAGATTTCCCAGTTCCATCAGCGGCAGGCTCTGCCTTTTCTCTCTCTTCACCTGATCCCTGGTGTGAAACAAAAATATTCCAAGTACAAAACTAAATCAAATATGTGACACATCTAGACTGCTCAACATGACAACCTTTCCCCAACTTGAGCTTAAAAAGTCTAAATAATAACAAGGGGAATGTGTACAGTAAGTAGCAGATACATTTTTTACATGAGAAGGCTTCTGAAATGTAAATGTGCAGCTTTGTTTGACAGAGGCTTTTAAATTGAAACAATCCCCAAATCACTACTATAACTCTACGCAGAACCTTGTACAGGATACAGCATGGTGTCTTTACAAGCAACTGTTGCACTGCAGTCAAACTAGTCCCATTTCAAGGATGTAGTGCTCACTACCAGTCAGTCTATCCTCACATATGCATCAAGTTATATTTAGAGGTTTTTAAATGCAAATTCAATCCTTGTCATCTCTCTCTTCATGATGAAATGTTCTGTTTAACTAGGAACATCTCTGCAGATGGTTTCTCTCGCTCCTCAACTTTCCCAGATTATATTTACAGAATGTAAATATAAAACATGTTATTTATTTAACCAGGAACAGGCCCTTGATGTTAGAAACCTCTTGTGAGGGGCACCTGAAAAGTGTTGACAACTGGTGACTAACCTTGACAGGCTCTGGCAGGGGCTCCTCCAGGCCAGGGGGGGCAGTCTCTACTGGAGCAGGGGGTTCCTCATTGTTCCCCCACACCACCTCTGGGGCAATCCAGTCAGAGCTACTGTCCACTGCAGCAGCAGACCCACCTACAGCAGAAAACACATCCGGAGGAAAGGTCTAGTTAAAACACCTACATGGTACAGACAGAGATTATGATCAGCAATTTCTGATACTCATTTTTTACATTTTTAGTCATTTAGCAGACACTCTTATCCAGAGCGACTTACATTTGTTTTCTTTTTCATACTGGCCCCCCGTGGGAATCGAACCCACAACCCTGGTGTTGCAAACGCCATGCTCTACCAACTGAGCTACACGGTGATATATATACTCCATTATATATTCTGATCAACTGGTGTGTTCTTGTGTCAGGAAAATAAATACCACATGAATCAGATAATATACCTGGCCATTACAACAGATCAAATATTTTTGACCAAATTCATAGTTAATGCGTTTTGCCTTTGTTAGGCAGTATACTTGTCAGTAGTGTAAACCATGCCATCTAGAGGCCAAAAGGTGATCCTACACCCAGAGTCCACAAACGGAACACAAAGAACAGTCAGTCCATTACATTCAGTGCCAACTCCTAGTCTGGTGAATGAGACTGGATTCAGGTCTTTAGCCTTTATCCCTGTTATCCCCGCATCAATGACAGCCCATCCTCCTAATAACAACATTGCAATACAAAACGGGCGGCAGGTAGCTTAGTGTGTAAGAGCGTTGTGCCAGTAACCGAAAGGTCGCTGGTTCTAATCCCCGAGCCGACTAGGTGAAAAATCTGTCGATGTGCCCTTAAGCAAGGCACTTAACCCTAATTGCTCCTGTAAGTCACTCTGGATAAGAGCTTCTGCTAAATGACTAAAATGTAAATGTAAAACCTTAGTGAAAACTCTTGCCAGTAAAAATGTCATTGTACTGTGTATACTTCGCTGTATAAAAATGCTCCATTACATATGCAGTATATTCCTGGGAAATATTACTACCATCATTACCGTCAGTCTCCTGCCCCCAGACAGAGGTGTCTTGGTTGCTCTCAGGAGAGTTCCAGTGCTCCTGATCAGGAACAATGGTAAGGGCTGGGGCCTCTTGGGCTGTCACAGCCCGGTCAGTCCATTCTCCAGACACTACCGGAGCCTCCTCGCTGCTAATATCTGACACCAACACACACACACACACATTTAACACCCTTCAAGAACATCCACACATTGGCACCACTTTAAATAGTATGCCTAAGAAAAGGACTCCAACCAAGTACTGTACAAGTAAGAGCTAATTCATTTTCTTAAAATGGGACATTATTTGATTTCACTCTTTCATGAACCTCTCCTAACCCTTAATCAGATGCTAATTTTAATCTATATGTATATTTTTTACCTTGATGTGTAACGACGGCAACAGCAGGGATGGCATATGCCTTCTCAGCTTCGGTTTTGGAGGATTCCCCTTGGGAAATAACAGTGATGTTTAAATGCAAGGCTGTAGCTATATTTCCATGTACATTTATATTTCCTATTTGCAAAGGGAGAGCAGGTCAACACACAAAGAGCAGTAGCCTGGAATCCAAACTGATATGCTCAGTTTCTCTATTGTCAGTTTGGATTCCAGGCTAACAGAGCAGTTGACAAGCAGCAGAAGCTACACCTCTCTCTCTGGGCTCGGAGTCCTCCAGGGTATGTATTTATAGCAGGTCTGATCAACAGGGGAACAGCAAAACGCAATAACACGAGAAGACAGAGTAGCAGTCTCCCTGGATGCCAAATTAGTCTGTTTACAGAAAGTTTGTGAAAGAGTGTGTGTCTTTAACCAAGCTCAGGCCTGCTCAGCTGCAGCCTTTTGCCAACAGAGAGGTATACAATAAGGTGATAGACCTAAAGCTAGCTAGCTTTACCTTTCTTCTTCTTCTCTTTCTTCTCAGAGCCAGACCCAGGGGCTGCAGCTTTGGGGCTGGCCTTGGTTGACTCTGTGGGAGGAGTACTGGGCAGAGGATCCACTCCTCCAGGGCTCCCTGACCCGTCACCGGTGGTCTTGTCTTTACGGCGCTGCTCACGCTTCTCCTTGTTACTGACCTTGGTCTCCCAGGTGCCTGAGACTGATAAAGACATGGGGGCAGGTTAGTGGGAGAAAGTTAAATAGGCCTACATCTTGTGTTCAAATCTATGGTTAGAATGTCAAGGCTCTGGGCCCGGTTTCCCAAAAAGCATCTCTAGGCTACGTTCATCGTTAGAACCTTCTTAGGAGCATCGTTACATCTCTGAGCTGTTTCCCAAAACCATCATTACTAAAGTTGCTCTTGAAAACACCCATTATTTAACGACTGCCTCAGACCACTCGAACAGCTAAGTACGTTGTTAGATGTCTTTTGCCCTTCCGCGTCACTTTATACACAGAAGATCTCTGCTAAACACAAAAGCAAGATGTTTATCCGTCTCTCTGTTACAGCCGATAACTTCAGAACGAATGTGACAGACTACAAAAACAAAGTAGCCAATTTTTTTGCATAACAAATACACTTCAGATGAAAACAGAGATGACTGTATTAAAATATAAATACTGTCTAGGTTACATACACCTATATATTTGAATGATATGGAAATCCATTTCATGTTAATGCAATTGAGTTTTATTTAGCTATTTGTAAGCTACCGCTTAAATTTTGCCTCAATATATTTTATTATGTGTAACGTGCACAATGATGTGCCAAATCTTGATTTAGTACATTATTATAGGGGAAGCATTAGAATAAGCTTAAGAACAATTCTAATGTTAAGGTAAGATTGAAAAAGGAGAAAGCTGATCCTAGAGCAGTGCTCCCCCCCCCCTCGTAAGCCTAAATTCCATCACTATTGGGTAACCGGGCCCTAGTCAGATAGTCTATAAATGCATAAATTAATGATTTCATCTAACACATTCAAAGATGAATCATTTCAATTTCTCTGAAAGGACGTAACGATTAGCTGTAAATGTCTGCCCCCACCACGCTTTGCTAGGCACAATTGATTGAAACAGTTGGTGGTATTAGTGGTGGTGCTGTATGTCGTACCTTCCTCTGATTCCTTGCCATGAGAAGAAGCTGTCTTAGCCTCCTTTACTGCCTGTTTCTGCTTCTTCTTGGTCTTCTTTACCTAAACATATAGAATTCAGCATGTATGGTGGATTAATGCTACAAGGCAAAGTTACTGGGAAGGGAAAGTGGTAACATACAGACTTATCACCCCCTGCACCATTAGGACAGAAACCCCATTTTATGAAAGTCACTCAATCAAGTCAACGCGGTCAAGCTAGGTCTATATATATATATATATATATATAGAACTGAAATCACACAGTTGAAGTCGGAAGTTTAAATACACTAAAACTCGTTTTTTCAACCACTCCACAAATGTATTGTTAAACTATAGTTTTGGCAAGTCGGATAGGACATCTACTTTGTGCATGACAAGTAATTTTTCCAACAATTGTTTACAGACAGATTATTTCACTTATAATTCACTGTCTCACAATTCCAGTGGGTCAGAAGTTTACATACACTAAGTTGACTGTACCTTTAAACAGCTTGGAAAAATCCAGAAAATGATGTCATGGCTTTAGAAGCTTCTGATAGACTAATTGACATCATTTGAGTCAATTGGAGGTGTACCTGTGGATGTATTTCAAGGCCTACCTTCAAACTCAGTGCCTCTTTGCTTGACATCATAGGAAAATCAAAAGAAATCAGCCAAAAAATTGTAGACCTCCACAAGTCTGGTTCATCCTTGGGAGCAATTTCCAAACGCCTGAAGGTACCACGTTCATCTGTACAAACAATAGTACGCAAGTATAAACACCATGGGACCACGCAGCCGTCACACCGCTCAGGAAGGAGACGCGTTCTGTCTCTTAGAGATGAACGTACTTTGGTGCGAAAAGTGAAAATAAATCCCAGAACAACAGCAAAGGACCTTGTGAAGATGCTGGAGGAAACAGGTACAAAAGTATCTATATCGACATAACCTGAAAGGCCGCTCAGCAAGAAAGAAGCCACTGTTCCAAAACTGCCATAAAAAAGCCAGACTACGGTTTGCAACTGCACATAGAGACAAAGATCGTACTTTTTGGAGAACTGTCCTTTGCTCTGATGAAACAAAAATAGAACTGTTTGGCCATAATGACCATCGTTATGTTTGGAGGAAAAAGTGGGTAGCTTGCAAGCCGAAGAACACCATCCCAACCGTGAAGCACAGGGGTGGCAGCATCATGCTGTGGGGGTGCTTTGCTGCAGGAGGGACTGGTGCACTTCACAAAATAGATGACATCATGAGGAAGGAAAATTATGTGGATATATTGAAGCAACATCTCAAGACATCAGTCAGGAAGTTAAAGCTTGGTCGCAAATGGGTCTTCCAAACGGACAATGACCCCAAGCATACTTCCAAAGTTGTGGCAAAATGGCTTAAGGACAACAAAGTCAAGGTATTGGAGTGGCCATCACAAAGCCCTGACCTCAATCCTATAGAACATTTGTGGGCAGAACTGAAAAAGCGTGTGCGAGCAAGGAGGCCTAGAAACCTGACTCAGTTACACCAGCTCTGTCAGGAGGAATGGGCCAAAATTCCCCCAACTTATTGTGGGAAGCTTGTGGAAGGCTACCCAAAACGTTTGACCCAAGTTAAACATTTTAAAGGCAATGCTACCAAATACTAATTGAGTTTATGTAAACTTCTGACCCACCGGGAATGTGATGAAATAAATAAATAATTCTCTCTACTATTCTGACATTTCACATTAAAATAAAGTGGTGATCCTAACTGACCTAAGACAGGGAATTTTTACTAGGATTAAATGTCAGGAATTGTGAAAAACTTGAGTTTAAATGTATTTGGCTAAGGTGTATGTAAACCTCCGACTTCAACTGTACACCATCCTGTTCCCCTAAATCTGTCTACCAAGAGCCTTTTGACATGTCATTTATAGGGTATACCGTACTTACACTCTCAAACGCTATAAACCAAACATCAACAAATCAAATAAAAAAAATTTAAAATGTCAGCGCCTCAATGCAGAATGATGCCAAAATCAACTATAAAGAGCATTGATTGACAGTCAGCTGGGTTGAGAGCTGTATTTGATCACGGAGTAGCCACACTTGACACTAGCTAAATCAGGAAGCCATCGGTCCCATCCTTTAAGATTTGCTGCATCTGCAAGTTAAGATCTGGCAACCAGACACTGACAGCTGGCCCCTGCACATCACAGGACAGTAGGCGTCCTAAGGGAGGCAGGCCTCTAGTCTAAAAGCCACATCATCACTAGTAAAACTCCACTACATACGGCATAAGGCCCGTTCTCATCTTCAAGGCATGTTTAGCGCAGAAATTGGGATATTACATAGCTAATTATACCCAAGCAGACCTGACCTTAGTTTACATACAACGGACTTTGTTTTGCATACAACAGATTCAACTCTTTCACTAGTCTCCTAGGCTAGCATACAAGCATTTGTCTCTGCAAGCAACATTAGGCCTACCTCAGAAGCCTTTTCTGTCTTGACTTGAGGAGAATGATGTGGCACTACTGGCAGGTTGTCTTCTGTCACTCTGACTTCCTCTTGCAGCTCAGCAACTGTACGACCATTTGGCTGTGATTTCTGCGGGACAAAAGAGAAGACAAGGCTGAATTTGAAAAAAATATGAGTTTGGCTCGTGTGACAGGTTCATCTAGCTAGCCGAATCATGCTAATGTCGGCTACTACTAGCTAGCTAGCTACTGTGACGTTAGAGCTGTCATAATTAGCATAGCATAACTAGCTAGTAAGGCAACATTGGAAACATTACCTTTTCTGTAGGTTTCCTTTTCTTTTTCTTCTGTTCCTCTGCTCTCGCAACCTTGATAGGAGCTGGTTTAGTGCTTTCAATAGTCTCATCAACTTCAATTATGGTCGCTCGCTTCTTGAACAGCCCACGACAGGCCGAGGCCCACATAGCCACCATTAGCACGAGCCCAATGCACGCTGCTAAGAAGATCAACCATGGCGGAATCTCGGGCTTCACTCCAAAATCCACCCCGAGTTCTGAGTGCAAGAGGTCTAGGCCGGTGGAAAGAAGCTCATTCAGGCGACCTGCTATCAACTTCACCTGTTGACAGGTCGCGTCCTGCCAGTTCTCTGCCATTTGGGTTTATCTCGATGATTGACAGAAAGAATATGCTAAAGTTAACGTTAGCTGGCTAAAAAAAACGGTTGTGACAGGCCAAACAATAAAACCACGACCATCGCTAGCTTGTCATCCACCTAGCCGCTAACGCGTTAGCTAGATGTCATTAATGTAACTTTTGAGTCGGTCGAAATGGGTTAGCCTCATATAGCTAGCTATGTGTGTCTCAGATCGTATGACTAATGAACCGCTTTCTTGCCCACTGTGATAAAGCAAGAAGGTTGATTTCAAGGAGCCACAGAAACAGGCGGGGCTTAGCAGTATCCAGCTCTACGATTGGTGCAACTTCTTCATGGAAAGGGTGGAGGCGTCCCTCTGAAGTCCTGATGAATTTCCCCATTCAGTTCATCGATCATTTAAAGTGTTGGTTTTCCGGACACAGATTAAGTGTGGTTCTGGACTAGAACAGATGAATTAGGGTTAGTTATCAGTATATTTGACTAAAAGCCATGCTCAATGGTGAATCACATATCTTGAACCAAACTGAACCATAGCTGAACCATAGCTGTCCACCTGGTCAAATAGAATGTATGTGGCCTGTTTTATTGTATGCTTGGATGTATTTGCCCAATCTAAATCATTGCAATCTTTTTAAAGAGCAGGTTTTATCAGCATGCCTAGCAATTAGTGAGAAAATCATCGATTTAAACCATATTCAGAAAGACATTCGACAACAATCAAGAGACTTAAAAATATAATTTGCATCCAAGTTTATTTTGTAATTCCCTACTCCCCCTATACAAGAAAAATAATTACTTTCCACCAAGGCAGCAGCGAACTGTCAGTGATAGTAAGTGTTCTGTTTAGGGCAAGGAACAAAATCATAATCACAGTGGGTTTTTTTATACTTTTACTTTTTAAATACTTCTACTGCGGTCCTCTTTGGCTGGGTTTCGGCACACAGTTTGCTGTTGAGCCAAATTCCTGGGAAGTAAAGGTTTAAGCCAATAGAGCGGAGCCGAGGGCTTCAACTTTACAAAGCCAATGCAGGAATGTATATTATCTTCAGAACTAAAAAAATTAAAATAAAATAAGAACAAGCCGTCTGTGTTCACAACACAAACAAAATAACCGCCAGGGGAGCGACAGCATTTTTGTATTTTCTTTGAATTCCATAAAATTGTATAGACAAAAAACAAATCTACAAAAATTGAACTAGGTAAATATTACACAACAGGTAAACATGTTTGTCAACCTCTACACAAAACCAAAGTTCTTGGTCTTAATGGCTAGTAAGAGTTTCTGTTTTAGAATCTGTTTGGAGGAGTAGAGTGGCACGTAGAGGCGCGAGATGCAGGTGTTGGCCGTGGGCAGGTGCTGGTCGTCCGGAGGCCTGATGGTGATGGAGGGCATGGGCTGGAAGCCTTCCTCACTGGCTGGCAGAGACGGACTGGAGGTCCAGAAGTACACCTGCAGGGAGGGAGAGAGGAGAGGAGAGGGGAAAACACAGTCTCAAGGTTCAAAGTTATGTGTAATAAATACATTGGACTCAGATTTTTGTATTGGAATTTGTATTAGACATTGTGCAGATAACAATGACATGTAATAAGCTGGGACTGCATCAGGTAGTGAAAATCATTTCTTACCAGATCTTGCCTCTCAGTCATGCTCATCTTCTCCACGATGGACCAAAACCAGCGTTTGAACTGCAACAACTTATCAGCATTTTCCCCTGTTGAGATTCAGAGTGGATAACAAAAATAAGTGACTCAACATGGAATAAAAACCATAAACTCAAACACATTTAAGTCATGTAAAAGTACAAACTTATTTATGTTACAAGACTTCCAACTGCTCCAACTGCATGGCTAAAAGTGTAAGGGTGAGGATCAATAACAAAAGGAAACCTAAATGCATCCAGGTTTTACAGTTCTAGGACCAGGTCTCCCCTCCACATAATCTTATTAATTGTGATCAAAAAGGCAAAACTGATCCTACATCAGCACTCATACTCTGAGATTCTTTGTGAATACGGGCCAAGGTCTTTGTACCAGATTCATCGTTGAAGGACGTGAAGCTGATGAGCATCTGCACGTTGACCTCTCCACAGCCGTTGACCAGCAGCCTGAAGTCCTCAGCTGTCAGGTCCTCCAGGGCATTCTTAGGAAGGACATCCAACAGACCCTTCCTCATCGCCTGAGAGAGACAAAACAATATTAACATTGCATGTTAACATCTTTATATACAATACACATCCATCCCCTTCTCATCGGCTGAGAGAGAACATGGTATTAATCTCACATGCATTTACGCTCAACAATATTGAGTCTCTGTACACATCTAGGCTTATCCCTTCTCCAGCTTTAGACTGGCCTGGTGTCAGATTTGCTATTTCGGAAACTCCTATGGCCATTGTCATGCCAAAAACACAAACAGATCTGGGACCAGGCTAACTTTAGACCTAACTCAATACAGAATGCCCCACTTGGTTCCCCTTATTATAATGAATGGTAATTCACTTGTATACAGTGCCACGTGAGACAGTGTACAACTCACATGAAGAGGTTGCTCGGCGACTACCAGCATCCTGTGTTCGGCGTACTTCCTCACGTATTCGTAAACGTTGAGAGGAGTCACAGGCATGTTGACCCCACCTGACAGCAGCTCCACCTGATATAGCCATGGACAGCAGATAAGTCATATTAATAATATAATGCAATGTTTCAAAACATTCCCTCAGTCAGAATTAGTGTCAAGAAGAGAAGGGTTTTCAAAATACAGTCAACGCCTGATAAATGCAAAACGTGGCAGTTTCAAGTTTTTAATGTCACATGTACAAGTACAGTGAAATGCCAGTTGTGACAGAGTGCATTAAAACCAGAGCATGCAGTCATCAGAGGTGATTGCAAAAATATAACAAAATGAAAAATCTGTGAGTTCTTTACCTGTCCAGCCCCTTCCTCTTTGCACAGGTCTATTGCGAAGGCCAAGTCCATGGCTGCAAACACAGCCTCCGCCTCTCCAGCCTGAGAGTGACGGATCAACTGCCGCAGGCTCTCGTACATTACCGGGTCAAAGAAGGCAAAGTCATGCCAGTTCACCTGCACACCACACACACATACGGATGAGAACTCTATCCGTGTACAAGTCCAGATGTAGCAGTTTCCATATAGCAGAGTACAACAGTGCCCATATAACAGTGGAACTCATTACCTTTCTGCCAAGTAGCACCTTGATGACATGTCTGTTCAAGGTAATTGGACAGAGCTCATTCTGCAGCAGACACAGCCCTAGTATTCTGGAGGAAAAAAACAAAAAAACAAAACAATTAAATACTTGGAATTTCTTTGTAGGCTACATATAATTGTAATTTCGTTGTTTCATCTCTGAATACAAGTAAATAGAGGCTGCACTCCCTATGGGTCTGGTTGCACTATAAAGGGAATAGGATGTCAGGACTCAGCCAGTGGTCCGTCCTTACCTGCCGATGTTCCTGAAGCAGTTGAGCCTGGCCTCTGTGTTCTTGCCGGGCCGGGGAGAGTAGAATCCTCTCTTCCCGGGCTGGTAGAACAGGGGAGCGTTGTCGTCTCCGTCTTCAGGGTCATCCAGCTCCATGTCCACCACACTGCGGGTGGAGCCATGACGCTTACGGTTCTCCTGCTGCTACAACCAGGAAATGAGGAACTTTATTCATAATTGACAATAATTGACTAATTCTATTGTTATTACAGCGTAAAATAATGAAAATCAGTGCCACTTAGGGCTGTTACGGTGACTGTATTACCGCCACACCGGCAGTCACGAGTCACGACGGCAGTCAAATTCCACGTGACCGTGTAGTCACGGTAATTAGGCTTCTCCAAGCTCTGATGCTGCTGATGGTCATTAGTAGCCTACCAAACTTGCTAACTGCCTGGTACTCAGCACTCTATTGTCCCTCTAATCACTCTGACCTCAATGCAAATGTAATCGTAGCTTAGCCCATAGGCCTATATGTTTTGATAAGGTTTGTATCACAATGAAAGTGGCCAAATAACTTCTTAAAATTAGGCACATTAATCCGCTTTATAACCGGTGTAGAGCCTAACTGGCATACATAGGCTGTGCATGAGTTAAGTTTGGGGAATAACATTTTCACCATAAAAATGCACCTTTATAATAAAGCAACACATAAATAGATCGCATTTGCTGTCATTTTTGAGAACAGTGTTTTCCCGCTAATTGATTGCATTTTGGAACATTCGCGCTTATAGCCTACTGCCGTGTGCGCATTCCTACGCTTATAACGTGGTCCTCTGTAGCTCAGCTGGTAGAGCACGGTGCTTGTAACGCCAAGGTAGTGGGTTCGATCCCCGGGACCACCCATGCACAAAAATGTATGCACGCATGACTGTAAGTCGCTTTGGATAAAAGCGTCTGCTTAATGGCATATTATTATTATTATTATTATTATTATAATAATGTGAAGAAAGCCTAAACGTTTATCAACATTTTAAGCTAAACGTTCTGATCTGTTGCATCAGCCTCATTGCTTTTCAAAGTATTTTTTTATGCTAGTGGCTGTATTAATTTGGGATCTATCGCATCCCACAACCGTCCCAGAGTACTGTACGATGGGGGATAGTAGATTGACATAGGCTAGTGCTTTTGCTGTTCGTCAGGCCTAGTCATCTTGTTGGCTGATGAAAGGTAAGCTAAATGTGGACAGTTCTAACATCTTCGCAGTTGCGTCCCCGATGTGTGTCTTCATTCACTTGTAGCCTACTTCTTAGCTGAAATGCCTATGAGAAGGACCCGATCACGTGAGGGGCATTGGCTACATCAGAGAGCCATGTGAGTGCGAGGTGCTTCGGAGCACGACAGCCGGGAATTATAATTATTATATTCAGCCCAAGGGCACAACAGCCACTTTGGCCGCAAAAGGCACAGATTTTTTTAGGGGGCATTACAGCCACACAAGGGGGATGCCGCTGGGAAATTCAAGGCCTGGTGAGAATATTATCAAGTGCTTGTCAAACTGATGAAGTGTGTGCAATTTGCGACTTTTTTCAAATCATCATTAGAGTCCCATCATGCAGCCTTAGAATGTATTAAAATCAAAACATATAGCCCAACCTTTGTATCACAACTAAAGTTGCATAAATAACTCTAAATCAAGCGTATAGGAGGACCAGTGCCTTTGTTAACCGCTCAACACAAACAACCTTTCTATTTTATTAAGCTATGTTCAATTGTATTCTTCATACTATAAAATAATAAAAAATAATCCCACGGAATTCTAAGCAAATCTTGTCTGCTAAATGAACTAGTGTAGCCCACAGCCATAGCCATATCAGGGCCTAACATAAGGACAACTACGAGTATGCTATTCTGTTCTTTTGAAATAGACCACATTTTCTTCATATCGTGTTTCTTTAGACCTGTCTAAAATAAATAATGGATTTATTGTGATGTGTAGGCTATACTAAATTGATTTATTATACTTTTTAAAATGTAGATGTTCCAAAAGCTCTGCATCAGTGGCTTGTGGGCTATGCATGGAAGCCAGGAGATGCTACATGTGTTTATGTTAATTAACAGTCAATTGCCATGAGAGTGGCAGTTATTTGCTTGACAATCACCAGCTGACAAAATGTCATACCGCCACAGCCCTAGTGCCACCCAGTAAAATAGAAGAGACTGGTCTTGAGAAAGGTTGCTAAGGCTGAAATATTGACATTAAACAGTCCCCTATATCCCCTCTGTTATTATTAGAGCATAATATAATTGGGTGATCATGAGGTGAATATTTGTATTATGTTATAGTAAACCTCTAAAAAGGCCACATTCAGAGAATTCTAACCAGTACATGAATGTCCACATTCCTTTTATTTTTCATACAACTTTCTCTCAGGCACTAATGACTTGTGCCTGGACCACAGAGCTGAGGCATGCTGGGACCGGAGATGGAGAGCTGAAGTTTACCTGTGCTTTCTCAGGAGCCTCCAGGAGACCCAGGTCCAGTATGCTGTCAGCACCATTTTCCCTGTGGAAGGAGAGAGGGGTTTTAGTCAGTGTATCCTTTATTTCACTTTTATCTAACCAGGTTGTCCTATTGAGGTCAAAATACCACTTTCACAAGGGAGACCTGGCCAAGAGGGCATCCTTGAAATTGTGTAGGGTGACAAGATGCGTCCCAAATGGCACCCTATTCAGCATATAGGGGCTCTGGTCAAAAGTAGTGCACTGTGAGTAGGGGTGCCATTTTGAGAACAAAATGACAACAGAATGGTGAATAGGACACTGTACTATACCTTCCATGTGCAATGAGCAGCTCCATGGCCTCCTCCACCCTGGCCCTGAGAGAGTCCTCACTGGCCAGCAGCAACAGCAGCTGGGCTGGGGAGAGCTCCAGCAGCATCCCTGTGATCTTACTGGCAAACGCCTGGAGAGGAAGGAACAACCCCAATCAGTCACATTATGTATCACTGTCCTGAAGTTATCACTTATTCACCACCCATCACATACAGTATTCCTTGTTGATTGTATATAGATATTACGCATTATAGATTGGATACTGTATTTATAGATGATGGATACTTTATTACTTTACAGATACTTCATCACAAGACAAGTATAATTTCTGTGCTTGTTTGATTGTTGTAAAGCTGGTAGGTACCGGCTGCATAGCGTGGACGCGGGGGTACAGCCTCTCTCCCAGGGCCTGTCTGTGGGCAGGCAGGGGGTCAGGTTCATCACTGGGGTTCCCCTCTGAGGCTGGCCTGAAGGGCCGGGTGTCAATGGACAGCTGTCTCCTCGAGTCCCTAGAACACACACAGAAGGGAAGGTTAGCTAGCGCCTTCAAACTTTCTACACCATCGTGCCGACCCGAACCAAACTGGCCAGTGCAGGCCATTGTCTTGCGCCAGATCACGTCACTCCTACGTGATGCTCGTCACTACTACGCGATGCTCGTCCATCAACCGATCGGTCTTGTAGGACGTGGAACTCATCTCTAAAAATCTATTTTGCTCATCCGTCTAACACTAGTTCCTAATTCTGAAAATCGCTCCGCTCTCGGTAGCTATGACACACTGGCTACTATGGCAAACCATGCTCCAGCTAGCAGCCTAGTACAACCTTGTTTGAATGGCCATACGGTAGCTAGTTTAACAGCTTGTTGATGAAGTTGTACAGAACCAAAGTTATGGGACTGTTCTCAGAAATCAGCATGTATCCGACTAACAGCTGCCATTGTGCCTCGCTACTCAGTAAAAATTGGCTATCGCGATAACATCGCAGAGAGAAGTCAGCTGTGCTGTAGAACTCGGTGCACTAATCACAGCAGAACAGATATCATGAGAACTCATGTGCATAGCTAGAACTTCACTACACTAGCTAGCTAGAGGGAGTATTCAGCATTGAGTGGGTGAACTGGTGTTAGCATCCCTGTCTTTCTTTTCATATGGATTGATTTGAAATGTTCGTACACATTTAGAATTTCATAAATACAGATTCTACCACCACAAAACACCTTCGCTAGATATAGAATTAGGTAGTGAAGCCTTGCTCATGACATAAAAAAAGAAATTAGCTCCAGGTTTATAGTTTTTGGTAAGATTCACTGACTCTTGAGGATGAAAGGAGGTTCAGTGGACGTTGTCACCTTGGTAACCTTTTCAAATGTTAGGACAGCATATTGTAGACTGACTTCTTTGTAGCTATCCCATGAGTGTTTGCGCTATCCGACGTAAGACAATGCAGCGCAGGCCAGAAACTATGATGGATGCGTAACCAGGCCAGCTAGGTTTGGCTCGGCTCAGCAGTGTAAAAAAAATAATACTTTTGGTATAGTTGAGTAGTGAGGTGTCTAAGGCTATAGTTACAACTTTCAGACTATGTTGCATTTGGATTGCTTCGTGTAACACCCCCAGCAACTGATAAGCAATTCATCTACAACTTGGATGCATCCAGTTGCAAAAAAATGCAACTTTGTGCACTAGTTGCAAGCAACAGCCAATCAAAATGAATGCTTCGCACATGTTCCATTTGAAGGTTCGGAACTCCGACCCAGTTGTCATGTCAACACAGCTGTCAGTGCTGCGGGAACCGCGATCAAGGTTGGTAGAAGAGACATTAGCCAAACGGGAGCTGTAAATAAATATTAGCATTATGGGAAGTCATGGTTAATGTACATGGTTTGGTAGTCAATAAATGTAATTTTTGAAGTGAACCCAGACCTCTCTCAGACCAGATTCAACTGAAATTGTCCAACATGAACTGCTGTCAATTTCATTTTGACTAGCTAGCTAAATTGTACAGCCAGCATAATCTCCAAAACCATTCTTATACAATAACCATGCGGTTGGATAAACAATTAATTTGTGAAATCATGATGTAATGCAGCAGATTACATTAGGTGAGTTAAGACTTCTCAAACCATATGACAATAGCAGCTTCAATTTGATTGGCTGTTGCACGCAATTTCAATCACGTTTGAGTTACTTCGTATATCAGCAAAGTTTCTTGAGATGTCACTTGCAACCTCTAACTGCAACTAAATTTGCTTGAAAGTTGCTCTGTGTAACTCCAACCTAACACATTAACAGATGAAGGTCAAATGTTTTCTAAAAGGCAACATGTCCTAATAGCCCAAAACACACTACAACCACAGGGTTGATGGGCAGGGAGGTTGGTCTCTCACCTGTCTCGGTCTCTCCTAGAGCCGGCTCGGAGCCCTCCACTCCTCCGCTCCCTCTCCCGGTCTCTGTTCCTCAGCCGCTGCATCAGATCTACACACAGAGGGAGACTTTAGGAAAGATATATCTCTATGCTATTCTGAAATTCCTATTGCTTCCCCCAGAGTGTTGGTAGTAGTAAGTTGTCACCACCACCATGTTTAAGTGACATTTGGGTTAAGTAATTAATAAATTGACGCTAGTAGTTTCATACTCAATGTCATACTTGAGTTGTAATCGTGATGACACGTACTGCTGGCCTGCATGCCCTTGCTGACACTCTGCACACAGTCCAGGTTGGGCAGCTTGTCATTGGACAGGAAGGCCAGGGCGATGGCAGTGTAGAAGCTACGGGCCACGCCACTACCCTCGCCCGGCTCGTCCTTGAAGGTGACCTTGACGCGGTGCACAGCCATGGGTGTGGTGGTGCAGCGCCGGCCAAAGTGGGTGTTGAGCTGCCTCATGGTCTGCTGGATCAGCTGGTCACGGTCACGGTCCACCTCCAGGGCAAGGTCACGGGACTGGAGGTTACGGAGTTTCTCCATCTCCCGGCGGAACTTAGACTCCTTCACCTCAAAGCCCCCCAGCTCGGTCAGGATCTGGGGACGGGATCAGACAGACAGGATTAAATGTCTGGTTAGATCTTCAACTGTTTTTATGTTTAATTAGTCCTGATCTCATCTTGGTAATTGTACTTTTCTTTATTACATGTTTGTCTGTCAGGATCTGGGGACAGAAATCTGTAGTGCTGTAGTGACCGTTATAAAAGCGTACATTTGGATCCGGGATGCTGATTGGTTGATAGCCGTTAGTTATTCACGATAATCCACGGGTAAAGCCTGTTAACAGTTCCATTTGAATTATCAATGCGCTGTTCAACAGCCCAGCCAGGCAATTCATAAACTATCTAGACATTTCCCCATGCTTCTAGCCCATCATCTTGGTAATGGTATTTTTCTTAATTTTGTGTATGTCTAGCTGTATAATTTTGTGGATTTCATTGTATTAATGGTTTGGGGTGGGGGAAATACTGTAAATATAATAAAAGTACAAGTGTTTCAACACCAATCCCTGAGTGTGCATACCGATCCAGGCTCTGCTCCAACGTCCTCCATGAAGACGCGTCCGAACAGCTCCAGAGACAGACGCCAGCGGCCCAGCAGCATGTCATGGGAGATCACCATCCCCATGAAACTACAGTGGGGTCTGGAGAGGAGGACACAGAGATGTTATACTTCCTAGTCAATATTACAGTGGGGTCTAGAGAACACAGGAGAGGGCACAGAGATGTTACTTCCTTGTTAATACCAAAGACGGGAGAGTAAGGAGCATTTACATATGCAGTTGTAAGATGCAGAGGGAGAGAACTGAGGGGGAAAAACACTTTATAACTATATTCAATGTTTCCTTATTGAAGCAAAGAGAGAGCGAACTAAGAAAGCATACCTAGATGGGACTTTCATTTATTTACTAGTCACTAAGACGTGTACCATACCTAAAGGAAGGGAGCGGGGGTCCGTCGCTCTCGGTGAGGCCTATCTCAGCCAGGAGGCTGCTCTTTAGCTGGGCAGCTAGGTCGTGCGGTGAGGGGCCTGGCTTTGGAGCCACTAGCTCCTGGTCCATGGGCTGGTCCTCTCGGCCGCGCTGACTAGTCTCCATACTCATCACGTTCTTCAGGTTGGCTGAGTAGGACATCTTGGTGGGTAGGATCTGTGGGATCCAAGGGGACACAACACAGCTCTGGTTGAAGTGAATGGTGCTATAATGAATGTTTTTTTTAATGATGAAATGTACTTTGAAGACTGTGGCCCTGTTCCAATTATTTGATGCATCTTTCCTTCCTCTTTTTCTTCCATGAAGTACTAATCACTGACCTAACATAGATTGGCGTAAGCAAGCTTTCCAGTTTCCATTGCGTTGCTTTCACCAATCCAGTCATGTCAGACCAGTGATTATTTCAAGAAAGGAGGGAACGGGAGATGAGGGAAGGATGCATGTTGATTGAAGGGACGAGGGATAAAGGAAGGGTGCATGATAAGAGTATTGGCGCAGGGCCGGTGTGTTGTCAGGGCGGGCAGTGCGTTGCGTTGCATTATGTATACCTGAGAGGATCCCATGTTAACCTCCAGGCAGCTGCGGTCCAGGGTGGCCTCGGCCAGGCCTTTGCTTGCTGTGTACGAGGACGAGTACAGGCCCTGACTAGGACGGCCAAACAGATCCTCCTTCCTTGCATTGGGCTGGGAGGTAGAAAAAAATAAAATAAGTTGCAGTGTCATATTATTGTAACAAACAAAAAACAGAGATGAGCAACTTATTAGTAGTGGTGGACTTATTGACTTCTAGAGTATATTGCACTGCTTGCCCCATAAAGGTATAAGGAGGCAAAGAAGCTCTATAGCTGTGTTAACATAATTACTGTCTTAACACCGCATTAAGGATTGTACAGAAGAGGCTGTATGTACAGAAGAGGCTGTTTTGTGAGCCCATTACGACTGCACGTCACTTTAATTCCACTTTGTTAATAGAATTTCTCTTGTTGGTAGTTATCAATAAAATGGCACAATAAGGTACAGAGCATTCTATTTGCCTGCTGGCGTGAAAGGAGACTTCCCAGCTCTGCTAAAACCATTGACAACTACACCATTGACAAGGGATTGTTAAATAAATGTTATTTGTTGTTATTAAAACTATTTGGTTTTAATATCACCTCTTGAAGAGCATAGTCAGAACTTCACATTTCAGATTATTCCATATTTAGCTAGTTCTAACATCAGAGTTATACAGCAAGTAACTGCACGCTTTTCATGATCAGTAAACATCAATTGATCATGTAATTCCAGATACGTGAGGGTAGCCTCACAATATCTCAATATTGGCCGCCATTAATTTGATAATTTAGTGAAAAGTGAACTAACCATACCTGATAAGTATGAGTGGTTTAGGTTCATTTCCCCATTCTTTGTGGGCTCTGCCTGTCAAGCAACGCATTTGCTGATGTAAGCCTATCGTTAGCTGATAATGACGTTTACTTTGCAAGCTACCGGTAGAAACTTTGTACAGTTGGTTAAACATAGTGCTAAGTAGAACTAACGTACTTTTTTTCTCCAACCAGCGTAGATCTACTTAGTGAAATTAGCTAACATTAAACCCTTTCCAACATTTTTTGTGTTTAATCACGATTGCTGCTGACAGACATGATAGGCTACATTGATTTATGGACCACGTCAAATTGGCTAGCTAGCTAATAACAGATCATGTCAATATGGCTAGTTAACAAGCTAACTTTCAGGGGATAAACTAGATGGCTATATCCAAATATTGTTTCATTTGCTTGCCATCTATAGTAGTGATGACAGTAGTACGAATGACAACTTGACGAGGACTTGCCGATGTCAAGCTGTTTCCAAAAGCCTAACCTCTGATGAAGTAAGCTAAGTGACACAGTTTGCTTAGCTAGCTGGCTACATGCCAAATGATAGGCTACCCTTACGTATCTGAAAATACATGATCAATTGATGTTTACTGATCATGAAAAGCATGCAGTTACTTGCTGTATAACTCTGATGATAGAACTACATGAGGAATAATCTGAAATGTGTAGTTCTGACTGTGCTCTTCAAGAGGTGATATTAAAACCAAATAGTTATAACATGTATTTATCAATCCCTTTAAAACTGCACATAGTTGTCAATGGTTTTAGAGCAGCTGGAGGTCTCCTTGCCCCCCAGCAGCCAATCGAACGCTCTGCACCGTATTGTGACGTTTTATTGATAATGACCTATACCGGTCAGTGCAAATTAAAGAAATGCGCTAACCTGCAAGAGGTGAGGCTGGTCTGCCAGGGGGATGGCCTCGGCCAGGGGGACCTCGAAGGGGTTGGGGGGGATACAGCCCAGGAAGGTCATGGAGTCAGAGCGCCGGAAGAACGGGTGGTTCTGTCCCGTCTCAGCAGGGACCGGGTCATCCTCCTTATCCTGGAGCATGGAGCCTGAGAGGGAGAGAGGTCAGCACTGCTTCCCTGCATTTCTCCACACTGCAAAAGACCACTAGGAAAGACTGGCCCACTAGGAAAGACTGGCCAACAAGGAAAGACTGACCAAAGACTACTGTACATAGTGCAAACAACTGCCTATTACCTATATCAGGGCTCTTGAACCCTGTTCCTGGAGAGCTACCGTCCTGTAGGTTCAAGCCAACTCTAATCAAGCGCACCTGATTCCCCTAATTAGCTGGTTGATGATCTGAATCAGGTTAGTTAAAACTGGGGTTGGAGCGAAAACCTACTCCAGGAACAAGGTTGAGAGTGCCGTGAAAATGTATTTGCCCCCTTTCTGATTTTCTCTATTTTTGCTACTGAATGTTATCAGATCTTTAACCAAAACCTAATATTAGATAAAGGGAACCTGAGTTTACAAATAACCAAAATATATACTACATGAAAATTGTTAGAAAGCAACAAATTTGAAGTTTTAGAATGGCCTAGTCAAAGTCCAGACCTAATTCCAATTGAGATGTTGTGGCAAGACTTGAAACGAGCAGTTCATACATGAAAACCCACAAATGTCGCTGAGTTAAAGCAGTTCTACATGGAAGAGTGGGCCAAAATTCCTCCACAATGATGTGAGAGACTGATCAACAACTACAGGAAGCGTTTGGTTGGAGTCTTTGCAGCGAATGATGGCGCAACCAGTTATTGAGTGTAAGGGGGCAATTACATTTTTCAGACAGGGGCATTGGGTGTTGCATTACTTTGTTTATAAAATAAGTATGTAATTGTGTTATTTGTTCACTCAGGTTCCCTTTATCTAATATTAGGTTTTGGTTGAAGATCTGATAACATTATGTATAAAAAAATATGCAAAAGTAGAGAAAATTAGAAAAGGGGCAAATAGATTCACTAACAGTGACTTAAGGTGGCTTATTGAGCAAACCGTTTAAGTGTTGTTTGTCAGATTTAAGTGACTCAAAAAGGGCAAAACTGTTTGTCTAATCTGAACTTAACCGTACCTTTGGGAGTTGCCCTCTTCTTTTTGCCTCGTTTCTGCCTAACTGCCTTTCTTCTGGCTTGTCTGCCTTCCAATACCAGAAAACAACCTAACAGCGCTCCACAGATCAATGGACTAGTAACTCAAACTCTTAAAATGGCTATCAATCAAACTGAGGTGAAAAATAAGGAGGTTAAGAAACCCGTACGAAAACACTTCAAATAGAACACACAAATATAAAAGCATATCATTCATAATTCGATGAACTTACTTTGATTGGTGTCCTCGTCATTCTCATGTTCAGAATCTTCATTGTCCAGTCCCAGTTCCAGAATCTCACGGTTCCTGTGGGATAAACGAATAGAGTTAAATCACACTGAATATGTGACATGCGGGTCATTTTCTAAGGGAGTCAGTGGCTCCTTCTCAATTAGGCTTTCCTTGATTCCTCACATCCTCGCTTCCTTCGCAAAAAACATTGCAGAAGAAGCCAAGGTCAGAGGAGAGGAACCATGGAAGAATTGAGAAAAGACAGTTGAGAAAGAGTGTGTAAACATGTCCACCATTCCAGGGGAGTCTGTACCTCTTGCGGTCCATCTGTGTTGTGTCCAGAGTGGTCTGCTGGTTCATGGCTTTGATCCAGTAGATGAGGGCCTGGAAGACGTAGGCCACGTGTTTGAGAGAACACACGTCCAGCACGGGCAGAACGTCAGAGTGCTCGTCGTTATGGGAACGCATCAGAGACAGGGCGTAGTTCAGGAAGTCTCCCCGCGCTGACATCATCCCCTGACGCACTGTCAGCAGAGTGGCCGCACGCCTGGGAGAAAGGAAGGAACGCACGTCAGCACAGTCGGACTTGAATACCAACGCACCTGTGAATTTTAAAAAATTTTTGGGGTTTTTCCCCCCCTTTTCCCCTTAATTTTCCCGGAATTTTTGGGGGGCCCCCCGGGGAAAACCATTTTTAAAAACCCCCAAATTTTCTATGGGGGAACTGGGACGGCGGAAAAACCAAATTTTTCCCTTTTAAAAATTTTTTTCCCCCGGGGGGGGGGATATTTGTCCCCTGAAACCCCCCGCTCCTTCCCCTTTTATGGGGAGGATCAAAAATCGGGGCCCCCTTCATTTCCTTTAAAGGTCCGTCCTGGTCCCTTTGCAAAAAACACCCCAAAGCATGATTTCCACCCCATGCTTCACAGTGGGTAGGGTGTTCTTTCGATGCAACTCAGCATTCTTTGTCCTCCAAACACGACGAGTTGAGTTTTTACCAAAAAGTTATATTTTGGTTTCATCTGACCATATGACATTCTCCCAATCCTCTTCTGGATCATCCAAATGCACTCTAGCAAACTTCAGACGGGCCTGGACATGTACTGGCTTAAGCAGGGGGACACGTCTGGCACTGCAGGATTTGAGTCCCTGGCGGCGTAGTGTGTTACTGATGGTAGGCTTTGTTACTTTGGTCCCAGCTCTCTGCAGGTCATTCACTAGGTCCCCCCGTGTGGTTCTGGGATTTTTGCTCACCGTTCTTGTGATCATTTTGACCCCACGGGGTGAGATCTTGCGTGGAGCCCCAGATCGAAGGAGATTATCAGTGGTCTTGTATGTCTTCCATTTCCTAATAATTGCTCCCACAGTTGATTTCTTCAAACCAAGCTGCTTACCTATTGCAGATTCAGTCTTCCCAGCCTGGTGCAGGTCTACAATTTTGTTTCTGGTGTCCTTTGACAGCTCTTTGGTCTTGGCCATAGTGGAGTTTGGAGTGTGACTGTTTGAGGTTGTGGACAGGTGTCTTTTATACCGATAACAAGTTCAAACAGGTGCCATTAATACAGGTAACGAGTGGAGGACAGAGGAGCCTCTTAAAGAAGAAGTTACAGGTCTGTGAGAGCCAGAAATCTTGCTTGTTTGTAGGTGACCAAATACTTATTTTCCACTATAATTTGCAAATAAATTCATAAAAAATCCTACAATGTGATTTTCTGGATGTTTTTTCTTCTCAATTTGTCTGTCATAGTTGACATGTACCTATGATGAAAATTACAGGCCTCTCATCTTTTTAAGTGGGAGAACTTGCACAATTGGTGGCTGACTAAATACTTTTTTCCCCCACTGTATTAGGTTTTGGTTGAAGATCTGATAACATTCAGTATCAGAAATATGCAAAAGTAGAGAAAATTAGAAAGGGGCCAAATACTTTTTCACAGCACAAGTCACTAACAGTGACTTGAGGTGGCTTATTGAGCAAACCGTTTAAGTGTTGTTTGTCAGATTTAAGTGACTCAAAAAGGGCAAAACTGTTTGTCTAATCTGAACTTAACCGTACCTTTGGGAGTTGCCCTCTTCTTTTTGCCTCGTTTCTGCCTAACTGCCTTTCTTCTGGCTTGTCTGCCTTCCAATACCAGAAAACAACCTAACAGCGCTCCACAGATCAATGGACTAGTAACTCAAACTCTTAAAATGGCTATCAATCAAACTGAGGTGAAAAATAAGAGGTTAAGAAACCTGTACGAAAAAACTTCAAATAGAACACAGAAATATAAAAGCATATCATTCATAATTCGATGAACTTACTTTGATTGGTGTCCTCGTCATTCTCATGTTCAGAATCTTCATTGTCCAGTCCCAGTTCCAGAATCTCACGGTTCCTGTGGGATAAACGAATAGAGTTAAATCACACTGAATATGTGACATGCGGGTCATTTTCTAAGGGGAGTCAGTGGCTTCTTCTCAATTAGGCTTTCCTTGATTCCTCACATCCTCACTTCCTTCGCAAAAAACATTGCAGAAGAAGCCAAGGTCAGAGGGGAGGAACCATGGAGGAATTGAGAAAAGACAGTTGAGAAAGAGTGTGTAAACATGTCCACCATTCCAGGGGAGTCTGTACCTCTTGCGGTCCATCTGTGTTGTGTCCAGAGTGGTCTGCTGGTTCATGGCTTTGATCCAGTAGATGAGGGCCTGGAAGACGTAGGCCACGTGTTTGAGAGAACACACGTCCAGCACGGGCAGAACGTCAGAGTGCTCGTCGTTATGGGAACGCATCAGAGACAGGGCGTAGTTCAGGAAGTCTCCCCGCGCTGACATCATCCCCTGACGCACTGTCAGCAGAGTGGCCGCACGCCTGGGAGAAAGGAAGGAACACACGTCAGCACAGATTGAAGAAAAGACTGGATAACATCTTTGGATAACTATTTTGGTTAACACCAATTTGGACAACACTTATTTTACCCAGACCTGCGTCCCTCTAAGGTGCGGAGGCTAGCCTCCTCGCGGGCGGTCATACGCTCCCTGCGGGCGGAGTGCTGCGAGGCGTGGAGGGGGTGGGAGGGGTGTCCGGGGTCGCCCGCTGAGGACAGGGCCGAGCCGTAACGCAGCTGAGCCTCTGTAGAGTCCATGATGGACACCATCCAGTTCCACGTAGGGATCAGCTTCTCCTCAACAAAGTTCTGGTGGTTTAACACACAGATAAGGTTATTTCAGTCAGAACGTCAATAGCACTTGTGTAGTGTAAAAGTCAATAGCATTTGCATCTCAGAAATGTGTCTGTATGGCTTCTTATCGTATAGGTATAACAGAATAATCATGCTGAAAAATACTTCCAGAACCACTTTAACATGTGACCATTGGTAGGTAACATAATACAACGTGAACTGCCTGTCAGCCTGTGTGTGGACTGTGTGTCTGTCACCTGCAGGTTGACAGCGTCCTGGTAGGTGAGTTTGACTGCAGCAGGGTACTGGGAGTAGACCAGGTGGTTGTACTTGGGGATGAGGCTCATCAGGTCAGAGATCTGTCTGATGACGATGCTGTAGGCCCGTGCCAGGCTGGAGGCTGATGTCAGGTAGCTGGACGAGTTGGAGGCCTCCAGGGCTGCAGCCGCAGCGGCGGCGCTGGTGCTGATGGCGCTGCTACGCCGCAGATTGGACGGGTCGATGTAGATCAGACCTGTGGAGCTCGCTGCAGGGCACAGACAGATGACCGTCAGCACAGACAGACCTCACCAACATAGTCCCCAGCAGATCATCACACGAAAACGCTTCCCACTGACTCAGTCCAATATGCTCTTGCGGTAGAATGACAGTCAAATTACATTTAAAAAAGTAATTGCAAGACTGTTCTAAAAGCAGTCTATCTTGGATGTGTTAATATGCGAGAAATGTTGCATACGGCCTAGTGTGTGTGTGGTGGTAGTAGTAGTAGTAGTAGTAGTAGTAGTAGTAGTAGTAGTAGTATTATTAGTATTAGTACTGACCAGCAGGGGTGGACGAGCTGGAGGGGGCGCTGCCCGTTGCTCTCTGGCTGGGGGTGTTGCGTACGGCCCACTGCATGGAGCGTGGCGCCTGGGCAGCACTGTTGGCGTGCGAGGCGGTGGTGGTCCTCTCCAAGGGCTCGTCCAATAGGAAGGTCTCCTGATCCACGTCGTCGCTCTGGCTGCTGCTGCTGTCCGAGTCGCTTGAGTCGTTGGACTGGGAGTCGTCCTCTGAAAAGAAGGCAGGAACACTGCTGGCACCTTGGAGGAGGAAGAGGAGGGGGACGGGGAAACAGAGGAGAGATTAGTGTGGGCGGCTGCTCACCTTGCCAGGTAGCAGGTTAGTGTTCCAAACCACCACAAGACCAGATATCACCACTGCTAGCTAGCTACCATGCTACATTGAGCGGCTAAACTCAGTACTTTAGCCTAATTTGAACATCAAGAAGCACCGTTGTGGTGCTTCTTGATGTTCAAATTAGGCTAAAGTACCCCAGTTACACCAGGGTCCAGTTTTTCAAAAGTTATCCATCTGGTTTTCATGCATAGAAATAGAATGAATTTAACATACTAACTTGAAATGGGGACTCCCGTTCTATTCATTCCATTTCCAGCTATGCATTTAATCCTATCCGATAGGCTAAATCCAGATCGATCACTTTCTGAAATACTGGGCACAGGGCATTGGTTCCATCATGATGAGTTCTTATTTCTATTGTTTGTCTTATTTTTTTGTGATCATAGTAGTGTCTGAGGGGAAAAGACACCGTAAATATACATCTTTCCTGACTTTGCCATCTCAAACGCAATTACAACCACAAACAAAGAACAAAAAGGCAAAATGGAGTTTGTTATTCAAGGGGAAACACCAAGAAGACTGTTAGACTTGTGAGTATGATATTATTAGGTGATGAGAACCATGGTGATATGTGAGATGGAGAGAATACAGGGAGAACTCCTTAGGATAAGCTATGTGTGCATCTCAAAAAGGTCACTCTAGCCCTGATATATTATGCATTGTAGTAAAAAGAAGCCCATACCAACATTTTGAAAAGCCAGGGACATTCTACTTCCTGCAAATGAAATACATTGAGTATTGAGTAATGATACTCATGGATTATTGAGCCTTAGTAGTAGACTAGTTTGTCTGCAGTCTTAAGCCATGTGGTCAACAGCGGTAAGAACATCAATGTGACCTAAAAGGAACTTTTGATAAACAAAAAAAGGGCCTCTTCCCTTTTACTGGCTGGTGTGATGGCCAGTCAAGACTGGTGATAATGTGACAAGACAAATAATTAGTCAGCCTGAACAGCAACTGGATATTTAAAGAGGATGGTGAGGCAGAAAGCAATATCCATTTAGCAGTCTCCAGAACTCAGGCAGGATCGTTAAATTAGGTCATTAATAAGGGTGGCTGGCCAGTGGCCACATCCCAGAGGAAATTAAACCAGGGATTTCAATTCAATTAAAATGACTTCATCTAAAATGTGAAAACAAAAGACAATGGTGTGAATTATAATACCTGCTTCGGAGCCGGCAGTTGCTGCGGTGACAACACTCCTCCGCCCGCTGGCATTGTCCTGGTTGCTATGGTTACTCTCGCTGTCACTCTCGGTCTCTGCGGCAGCCAGCAGATCCAACTCCATGTCGCTTCCTAGAGAGGAAAGGACATCACCCTCTTCAAACGCCATCATCATCGTCATCATAGGCATCATCACAGTCAATCATTTGTAGTAAGATTCCAAAATGTGCTTCATTCTAAACACATCAGTGGTAGAAAAAAAGATGGCGTCAGTCCAGTCTCTTACCATCCTCATCATGTTCATCATGCTGTCCCTCTGCCTCCGCGTTCTCCTCTCCCTGTTCCTCCTGGTCTTCATGGTGATCCTCCTCCCCGGCAACGCCCTCGACAACCTCCACCTGCCACAGGTAGACAAATGGGAATCAGTACAGAGAAAGCACAGGACATCAAGCGTTGGGCTAAATTCCATTTCAATTTCGGAAGTAAACTGAAATTCCAATTAAACTGACAGCAACCCTGATTACACCCAACACTTTGATCTTTGCCCCCCATTGAAATGTTACTGTTCTAGTGAGACTCTTCACCTCTTCAACGTCAGCAGACACAATGTCATCCTGTTCCTCGTCTCTCCCTCCTCTGACCGGCTGGGACTGGCTGCTGCGGCGAGGCTGGGGGTTCCTGATGATGTAGGACGACGCAGTCTGACTAGGACTGACACACACACAGGCAAGCAAGACCATTTGAGTTAACAATGCCCATGTTTAAATCCAAGCCCCTTTAAACCAATTTATACATGGCAGAAGTGTTACCCTAGATTACATTTTCCCAGAGGCAGGTCACAAAGACCTCCAAATCAACAGAGCTGGGGAACACGGTCTGCATGTCGGTCTGTGCGAACGCAGAGTAAAACCACTCACTTGCTGGACTGGTCTGGGGAGGGTCTCGGTGGCAAGGGTTCCACAGAGAAGAGTTCCTCACTTCCCTGCACGGCATCAATGCTGGTGCTGGCCAGGGTGAAGGGGGCGGTGGGCCGGGCGATGCCCATCCTCACAGGCACGATGAGGGACTCTGCCACGTTACACAGCTCCTCCACCGCATAGGGCAGCAGGGCCTGGAAGACACGCCTGCACTTCCCAATGGGCTGGGGGATGAAGTTACTGGAACAAAGACAAAGGAGATTAGATGTACACAACTGGTAGTACCAATCAGTCCTGTTGCTATGTTTCTATTCACCTAGGAGTTAGGAGCAGCACAAGACATATAAAAGCTATGTTTAAATCCACTAAAGGACTAGCCCAGTACAACAGGAAAATGGAGATCAATCTGGATTTGGCACTCATACTTTTTCTTTTTGGACGAGGCCATCTCGACGCTGAGGATGACAAACACCCTGGCCACGGAGCGCAGGAACCTCCTGGTGACGACGATGGCCTCCTCTCTCCGGCCAGGAGTGTACTTGTTCTGCAGTTCCTTCACCAAGGTCCCCAGCAGGGTGTCAATAAACTACAGCAGACAGAGAAGATCCAGAGACGGTTAGCTAACACACACGGAACGGACCACCTTCAAGGTTGACTCTACATACTTATAACACCTAGAGGGATTATGTTGTACTTGCCACATAGATAGGTGGTGTACCCTCTGGGCAAGGTTCTCTGACCCAAATGAAATGGAAATTCTTATTGAAATAGGTTTTTAGTCCAGGACTAGGCTTTATCTGTGTCTGAGAAACCGACCCAGACAGAGTACTTGCAACAGAAGATAGGCAGTGTGTCCTCTAGGTGTTCCAACTGTGGTTGACTGAATCCAGAAGCTCTGAGTAATTTAAGGGGGGGGGGGGGGGGGGGTGACTAGACTGACCCGACTTACTGTAATGTCAGGGGCACACTTGACGATGAGGCAGTGTGTGAAGCAGTCCAGGCGGATGGTGCCACTCTGCTGGTTCAGGTACACCTGCTCCTCTGGAAGGAGATGGGCGATACGGCTGCTGGCACTCAGCCTGGAAAAACAACACAACCAGGACGCCAGAGTTAAAAACAGCTGCTCACCCGATAAGGTACATTTCCTGAAGAAAATGTGTGTGCTTGCTTCAGCTGTCTAAAATAGTTATGGTAATGGTGGGATGGACAGAGAGAGGTAGGAGGGATGGACAGAGAGAGGTTTGATAGGTGACACTGAGCTGGTGAAGGCAGGCAGGGCTACTCACGGGTCTTTATTCTCCTGGGATCCGAACATGATCATGGACTTGAGAGCGTTCCAGTCCTGTAGCACCCTCTCCAGGGCCAGCTGGGCGAAGCGAGGAGGCTCCAGGTCATGGTCCGGCATGTCAGAGTCTGACACACAGGAGGGACAACATAAAAAAACTATTAGAATTGTCTCTTAGAATAGAGAATTGATGTGAATGAAAATAAACATTGAGCCATCGTGCTAAGAGTATCAGTGTTGCTAGAGGTGAAACCAGGCCTGACAACAGTAGTAAACCTCCACCCACCTTCAGCATTGGCAGCCTTGCGGTTCCTGTCCTCTCGGATGCGAGGGGGCCGGTACTGGCAGTGCTCCACACTCTGCCTAGCAACAGTCTGCACCAGGAACAGAAGGATATGCTCCCCCCTGTTGGCCAGCCAGAGAGAAGAGGAAAAACACATTACTAAAGCCCCCGAAAATATACAATGGTATGACGCCTTACAGATTGAATGAAGAGAACCAACATTGGATTTAAAAACAATACGTGTTAGCAAAGAACACAAAATACAGCCTACAGTCAGTCGGTGTGTGTGTTTACCGGCTGTTAGGGCTGGTGACCAGGTTAGTGGTGGTGAGCAGTCTGTAGAGAAGGTCCAGGCGAGCAGCTTTCTGTCCAGCGATCAGCGTCTTACACTTACACTTCTCCCAGCAGTCACAGTACGCAGTGGGAGAGGTCCTCTTGAGTCTGGGGAGAAAGACATTAACGTTTACTGTAAAGGCCTGTTGCAAATCACAGGTATCAGTGCCAGTATTGCATTACATTATAAAACCGGGATATAAGTAAGAAAATCCACTAACACAGGACACCAGAACGGAGAGTGAAGTACATACTTGCAGTCGTGTCCTTTGTGACACACCCTGGCACACTCAGTGCAGCAGCAGAGAGACTCCAACAGGCCGCAGGTCCGGCACTCAAAGATATCCTAGTTGGGACACAAGAGTAAATGGTCAGCAAAGATTCCAATCTGTGAAAAAGCAAACCAGTGTGAACGGCTGACTAATTTGTTGTGCGCGTTGCATTGTCCTCCCAAGAGACCCACCTGGTGTGTGTGTGTGTGTGTGTGTGTCTCTCTCACCTGGTTGATGTGTTCAGCTCCTGTCCAGGTGAAACTGCAGGTGTCATTGCAGCAGAGGACGTAGAGAGGAGAGTCGTCAGGGTTGGTCCCCGAGGGACAGATCATCTCCATGAACACAGTCTCTGCATTCACCTTCTCCGTCATGCCAGGGTCTCCCACTACACAACACAAACAGGTTTTGCAACGGAACATTAAAATCTGGGTTTTTATTAGGCATAAAGTTTAGGTAGTGTCTCCCCATTAAAACAATTCTGTTCTCTCCCAATTTAAACACAGTACATGTATAATCACTTTATGTATAGATGAATGACTTCAGATGGCTTTACATCAACATGTCAGCATTCTCATCCATTAGTAGCGCTGCCAAATAGTCTCCTCTTTCTCAACCAAAGATCTATGAACTGAGTGTAGTGAGTGACGTACCCTTGGCCATTTTCTGCGCAGCCTCCAGAACAGTGATGGCAGCTGGGTAAGCTCTCCCACTGACTGCCAGCATGAACGGGGTCATTCCACGGGCATCCCTGTCAAACACACACACTTTAGAACAGCAACAAAAAGGTGGGGGGGACAAATATCAAGAGAAAGCACCTTTTGAGCAATAGTTCAGTTCAGTATTTTAATGAAACAAGGCATTACTGTGTTATAAAATTAAAAGGCTTGACCAGACCCACTGGCCTTCTCAACTCTCAATCTCCCCTTCAATCACACCTGCCTCTATCATAAACAATAAAATACAAAAGCAGAATGGAACGCTCCTTTTTTTTTTTTAAAGAAAGAAGAAAAAACAATGAGCCTTTACTTAGCGGAGAGCAGCTCGCGGAGGTGTGGCCTGAGAACCATGCTGTCACACATCAGTTTGAGGATGAGGTGGGCGTTGGCCTTGCGGTCTTTAGACTCCACCACCGAAGGCTCAGAGGAGGGGCCTGGGGCAGGAGGAGAAACAGGGATGGAACAGGTCATTAGAGACATTGAGAGAGTTCGGGAACAACAATAGGGTAACCCAAACACTAACTTCACATCTGAGCATGTATGGCTGTATGGTGAGGAAGTAGCTAGCTATTGGTTTGTTCCAAATGGCACCCTATTCCTTATATACAGGCTCTGGCCATAAGTAGTGTTCTAAACAGGGAATTGGGTGACATTTAGTACCACACAGGCTAGGTATCTGACCTGGGATAGTGGTGGAGTAGCTAGCTAGGTGTGGTTGTATGTTGAGGAATGAGTTACAGTGAGGGAAAAAAGTATTTGATCCCCTGCTGATTTTGTACGTTTGCCCACTGACAAAGAAATGATCAGTCTATAATTTTAATGGTAGGTTTATTTGAACAGTGAGAGACAGAATAACAACAACAAAATCCAGAAAAACGCATGTCAAAAATGTTATAAATTGATTTGCATTTTAATGAGGGAAATAAATATTTGACCCCCTCTCAATCAGAAAGATTTCTGGCTCCCAGGTGTCTTTTATACAGGTAATGAGCTGAGATTAGGAGCACACTCTTAAAGGGAGTGCTCCTAATCTCAGCTTGTTACCTGTATAAAAAGACCTGTCCACAGAAGCAATCAATCAATCAGATTCCAAACTCTCCACCATGGCCAAGACCAAAGAGCTCTCCAAGGATGCCAGGGACAAGATTGTAGACCTACACAAGGCTGGAATGGGCTACAAGACCATCGCCAAGCAGCTTGGTGAGAAGGTGACAACAGTTGGTGCGATTATTCACAAATGGAAGAAACACAAAATAACTGTCAATCTCCCTCGGCCTGGGGCTCCATGCAAGATCTCACCTCGTGGAGTTGCAATGATCATGAGAACGGTGAGGAAGCAGCCCAGAACTACACGGGAGGATCTTGTCAATGATCTCAAGGCAGCTGGGACCATAGTCACCAAGAAAACAGATGGTAACACACATTTACATTTTTACATTTTAGTCATTTTAGCAGACGCTCTTATCCAGAGCGACTTACAGTTAGTGAATACATATATTTTTTTTATACTGGCCCCCCGTGGGAATCGAACCCACAACCCTGGCGTTGCAAACGCCATGCTCTATCAACTGAGCTACATCCCTGCCGGCCATTCCCTCCCCTACCCTGGACGACGCTGGGCCAATTGTGCGCCGCCCATGAGTCTCCCGGTCGCGGCCGGCTGCGACAGAGCCTGGATTCGAACCAGGATCTAGTGGCACAGTTAGCACTGCGATGCAGTGCCTTAGACCACTGCGCCACTCAGGAGTCTCAACTACGCCGTGAAGGACTGAAATCCTGCAGCGCCCGCAAGGTCCCCCTGCTCAAGAAAGCACATATACAGGCCCGTCTGAAGTTTGCCAATGAACATCTGAATGATTCAGAGGAGAACTGGGTGAAAGTGTTGTTATCAGATGAGACCAAAATCGAGCTCTTTGGCATCTACTCAACTCGCCGTGTTTGGAGGAGGAGGAATGCTGCCTATGACTCCAAGAACACCATCCCCACCATCAAACATGGAGGTGGAAACATTATGCTTTGGGGGTGTTTTTCTGCTAAGGGGACAGGACAACTTAACCGCATCAAAGGGACGATGGACGGGGCCATGTACCGTCAAATCTTGGGTGAGAACCTCCTTCCCTCAGCCAGGGCATTGAAAATGGGTCGTGGATGGGTATTCCAGCATGACAGTGACCCAAAACACACGGCCAAGGCAACAAAGGAGTGGCTCAAGAAGAAGCACATTAAGGTCCAGGAGTGGCTTAGCCAGTCTCCAGACCTTAATCCCATAGAAAATCTGTGGAGGGAGCTGAAGGTTCGAGTTGCCAAACGTCAGCCTCGAAACCCTAATGACTTGGAGAAGATCTGCAAAGAGGAGTGGGACAAAATCCCTCCTGAGATGTGTGCAAACCTGGTGGCCAACTACAAGAAACGTCTGACCTCTGATTGCCAACAAGGGTTTTGCAACCAAGTATTAAGTCATGTTTAGCAGAGGGGTCAAATACTTATTTCCCTCATTAAAATGCAATTCAATTTATACGATTTTTGACATGCGTTTTTCTGGATTTTGTTGTTGTTATTCTGTCTCTCACTGTTCAAATAAACCTACCATTAAAATTATAGACTGATCATGTCTGTCAGTGGGCAAACGTACAAAATCAGCAGCAGATCAAATACTTTTTTCCCTCACTGTATCTAGCTAGGTATCCGACCTGGTATAGTGGAGGTGCTGGGGCCCTGGCTGGTCCCTGTAGAGGCTGTGGTGAGAGATCCCACTGCAGGGGCCAGGATGAAGTCTATGTCACCGTCTGGGTCCATGGGAGGGGGGTCGGGCACCCAGCTGGGTGGGGCGATGGGAGGGGACACGGGGTCCTGGTGATCGCTGGAGGAGGGGCCAGACTCGTGACGGCCAAGCCCCGCTGCTCTCAGAGAACGCCTCATCATCTCCCTCAGACGCAGCCTGCGCCAGACAGAACACACATAACAGGTTAGCATGAGTGGTGGAAAGACACAATGGGACTGACATGTAGACATAAACAGGCACCAAGATATTGTTCTTGGTGTCAAGTGTCTTAAATGGCATCCTGACAGGAATTCTGACAGATTTCTAAGAATGAAAAGAAATGCCAATAGGCTCAGTCAAATTATTTCACTTCTTGTGCATTATGGAAATATCAGTTAGTATAATCCAGTTCTTTAGTGTTTTTCATCGTGAACATGTACCCTGAAAGAAAATAGTCAACTTAAAAACAGTAGACTTAGATTTGTATAAGTTAGTTACCCTCTGCTGCTAGAAGAGCCGGTCCTGTTCCCAGAGCTGTTGCTAGACACCACAGAGATAGCGTTGGCAATGGCCTCCACTGCTGACAGTCTCTCTGCAAACGTATTCCTCTCAGACCGTTCAGCTTCTGGAAAACACCAGTCCAACAGTTACCATACATACACAGGGAGATGGAGAATGGTGAAATAATGGAAGTCAAACGGGAGATGGGAAAGATAAAACAGAGGATGGCTCAAAACTGACACTGTGCCTTCTGAGACTAAGAGTCTTGACGCTGGTGCAACCTCACAGAACATTCAGATTGGAATATATTGTGTTGAACAGATGATTGTGTGTCAGGTAAACAGGGAATCCAGTTAACTCAATTAGTTTGATTTCCATCTGCAACGTTTCATCTCGCTGTATACACCACCCAGCACTCTGGCCCTGGTTTACCTTCCTCCTCCTTGGTCTCCTTGTTGCTGACGGGGAAGCAGACGGAGACGCAGGCGTGGAGGATGTTGCGGTTGCCGTCGCAGCGGTGGCCCAGGAAGGAGTGGAGGACGTGGGGACTCTGCTCCAGGAGAACAGCCTGCTCCAGGTTCACCAGGTACTGACGACAGGCCTCAAAGTCACAACGCAGCACGTGCTGCATCAACGTCTGCTTCTGGAAACACAAGTCGAACAATGTTATTTAAAGCGCATCAGCACAGCGTCTCCATACACTTACAGCAGGAATAAAAACATACAAAATACAAAAGCATTTAGTCAACAACGGAATACAATAACGGACAGTTTCTTGGGTTAAAAACAGCCTTTTCCTGGGCTAAAAAGCACTTTCAATGTAGATCCTATATTGAGCATGTTTTTTTGTTGTCCAGAAGTAAACTCAATCTAGGGAAACCTGCGAAAGTTATGATCATCCCAGTAACAAATTGACCATCAAATAAATAATCCCCTTTGAGCTATAAATAATCACATTTTGCTAACCTCCACAGCCAATATGATAATAGCAGCTTTCTTCTTGATGGTGGAGTTGGTGGGGAGGTTGGCCAGGGAGTGCACCCCCATGCCCAGGCTGGCGATGGGCGGCAGGTCCAACCACTCAGGGTCTCGGATCCCACCCATACAGTCTTTGGCCATTGGGTAAATTGTGCCGTTCCCATCCCGAAGGATGACTGGAGAGTCCTGGAAATTAAATGATGAAAGTCAAAATGTGCTTCCTCCCTCTACAGTACATAAAGCATATGAGAATAGAAACACCTGCACATTGTTCTACATGCTTCCATATAGTTTATTCCATTCGGTCAAAATGTTCAATAAACTCTTCAGGACCATAGAACAGACTGAATGTGTTTCTAATCATATGACAGCTTCTGTAATGTGTACCTGAGGAAATTGTTGGATATGCGATTGCCTAAGCAAACTTTTCGCAATACATGAAGCATGGCTATATTAGAAAAGGTTGTATTGAGTAGCGGAGAGGTGCTGACCTGTCCTGCGGTGAAGATGGCCACGTTGCGTTCACTCTGCCCCAGGAAGGCTAGGTTACTGGTGGGGAAGTTATTCTCCTGCTCTGCTTTGCCTGTGGCCAGGTCAAAGATACAGTACCTCACCCAGTTACCCGTCTTCAGCACTGCGTGGACTCCTGAAGGGGCAGACAACACAGCAAGTCAGAAATACACACAGAATTCATTCATATCTACACTTAAACACTCAATACTACATTATCGGCACAAACATAAATTACCACATTGCATTGTTATGCTACTATGCTAATGTCTTCTTACCTTTGGAGTCAACATTCACAGCCAGAATCTCAGCTTTCTCTGGGATGCAGAGTTTTTTAGGTGTGCGCTGGAAGCAATCTGGAACTTTAGGTGTTCCACCAGTTTTTACCACCTTTTGAAAAAATGAAATGGGCACCAGTTTTTAGACAACCAACATTTATACAACAGCTACTTCGTACAAACGTAATACTACAATGACAGATAGATTAATTAAATAATTGAAAACATTATTAATCCATCACTGAAAATACACATTTGTATGTGAGTAATAATAACTACACTATAATGTTTTCTAAGTATGTGAGTGTAAGTGAGGATCTAGTAGTCGTACCTGTAACTCATCTATTCTGAGCAGCCTACAGTCCTGCAGCAGTGAGGAGGGGTCAGAGTCAGTTATGGGAGCTGCAGCACTAGGCTGACTCGGCTGTGTGCTCACGCTGCTTGACGTCCCTGGAAACTTCACAGCTACATACGCACCATCCACTTTTAGCACCTGAAGTTAAAAGATGGAGCTGTTGCAAATAGGACCGTCGTGAAGACACCACAATAATACAACAGACAAACCACAGGATACAAAACATGATACTACTGCTTTGAGTTCTGCTCTTAGGCATGTCTTTACATGTAAATGAAAACAAATATTTAATAAAAAAAATTACTGAGAATTATAGACTAGAAGGTTTTAGAAATAACTATTAAATATGTCATCAATCTAAATATTTTACACAATGTTAATCAAAACAAAACAATGGTGTCTATCCCCCCGTCTGCCAGAGAGAGTTAGGGTCTGGTCCCTTCCTGTAGCCGCACCCACCTTTCCCACAGGGACATTTTTAACATCCTCCACAAACACCACTTCCCGAAGAGGCCACTGCTCCTCGTTCACCTTCTCCTCCTCTTTGGGAGCCGGGGTTGAGCGTCTTCGTTCTGTAATGGCACACAACACGTTAGGATATTCATACAACACCAGACCAGAGATAATAAACATGTCAAATTCCCGAGGTGCGCTTGATTTAGCTTGTCCGCTGTGCAAGGTGGGCAGGGTTTGCACTTTTAGGACTATTCTATTGGGGTTCAATTGTACCAGGCAAGCTAAATCATGCGCAGCACAAGCATTTGACAAAAGTATTTAAACCAGGTCTCGTAAGCAGATACAGCAGATTTCATTATCAGATACATCAACTAGAGACAAACAAACTGCTAGCAGCAACAACAAAAAGAGACCTGCAATTGCCACACCATCCGTTTCAAAGGCAAATGAGTCATGGCAATATTAGAGAGAGGTGGTTAGTATAGTAGCTAGTAATGTGACGTACTGTAGGGCAGCGAGGCACTGCTAGCAATGGAGGAGGTGTCACTGCAGGTGGAGGCCGGGGAGGGAGGGGGCCCCATCTCAGTCTTTACCAACTCCGGCTTGCTCTCCGTTCTAAGGAGAGAATGTGTAGGATTGAGTTCATGAGTGTTTAAGACGAGGGCCATTGATTTAGAGTGCCTTAAAAGGGAACATCTGTCCCAATTCACTCCCTACCCCTTCCCGTTGGGCCTAACCCTTTAATATTTGCAAATATGCAGACATAGAAGGGTTAGGGTCCAGGGAAAGGGTCAGGGAGCGAATTGAGTCCAACTGCTCTCTAAATTGGAAGCTAACTCACTTGATCTCCTGGGTCTTGGTGGTCTTGTCCATGTTCTTGAGGCTCTCTGGCGATCGCAGCTGGAACCTGCAGCTGTCATTCATGTTCCAGACAGACTCGAGGAGCAGTCCCACCTTGGGGATCCCAGCGTTGACAGAAAACGCCACGGCACCGGCGTGGTAGAGGGGGTTATTCCTCAGGCACACCTGGAGAGAGGACACAAACACCTGTTCACATTCGTTCAAAAGCAGTGTACGAGTGTACGCAACAGACATCCAATCGGATTCACAGGTGCAGAGAACAAACACATTTCAGGAAAAAGAAAGGAACATTTATACACAGGGTTCTAATGCTCCCATAGTCTTGGTTTTATGTTATGTTGTTATGTTATCTCACCTGCGTTCCCACAGTGATGTTGGGTATTGAGGAGATGCCGGCACTGGACTTTGGCTTCTTGTTCTTGGCTCTAGCCTTTTCAAGCATCTTTTTCCGTTGACTAAAAGGCACAACACCCCTAAGGAGACATTTCAAAACATAAACCACTATCCTCCAACCTAATCTTCTTGTATGCATAAATCTCTCAAGGGCCGAGTTCTACATTTGGACTGGACATTTGAGTAGAGCGAGGGCCTCTGGCCAGCCACTGCCCGAGTTCAACTAGTATTTGTTTTCTTTCAAATACTTTAGCTGCACTTGATTGCGCTTGCTTGGCACAATCCCTGTGCAAATCCAGCCAATCTGGCACTTCAGGAAAGTTCAATCAAACGCTCAAACCATTTCAAGAAAAACAAATACCATTTGAACCCAGGTGTGCCACCGCCCATAGAGGAGAGGATTAAGTACTCCAACTCACCACCAGTACAGGCTGCTCTCCAGCTGGGCGCAGGTGAAGAGGGCACAGCAGTGCAGAGACACGATGCGCTCCCCCTGAAGCTCAGGGTAGGTCTGGGCACTGTGTTCCAGCTTGGACGCCACGCTGCTCAGGGTGTCATCCATCCAGGTCGCCACCTTGTTGGTCTCTGTGGCCACGGTGGCTCTGATGCTGTTAGCAGACAGCAGGGTGATCTTCTCATTGGTCAAGCCCAGGAAGGACACCCGGGGGTGGCGGATAGAAGGGTTCTGATTGGAGGAGAGTTGATGATTACTATATGGGGTGAGGTTGCAAATAAAATGTGTATTTGAATGAAAGCACTTATTTGCAAAGTAGTCCTCAGGAGGAGTTAGTGTTCTTACTGTACAGCATTGGTCTCTAATACATAATTTGAATTCTATTTGATAAATGCTGCTGCTGAATCCTTCATTGTTCATGTCCTGTTGGCTTGTTGTACAGTATTGTTGTTTACCTGTGTGTTTCTGTATGGTTCTGGTTCACTCCACTTCCACTGGTAGAGTTCCCCCTTAGAGCTCACTGCCACCAGCTCAGAGAACAAGGACCCGATGCTCACAAACTTCACACCATCCTGGACCAAAACACCAACAGAAACATTACATTAGAAAAATGTGCTAATCTGATCTGTGCATATTAACTCAAAGCAATATTGAGGATATAGACCTAGCGAAAACTATTAAAACATATTGATATAAATAAACCAAGTGGGAAATCCATTAATGTGATAAATGAATACTGTCATTTTCCCTGAACAAGCTTTATTGACATCACATCTGAATATATGAAAAACAAAAAGAGTGGACCTTCCCATTAATCAAATTATTCCATCAACCAATCAATGTCCCTATCCTCCCAGCGACGCCCACCTTATCAGGCCACCACTGCAGCTCCTCGCCCAGAGAGACAGGGCTCTGGACGGGTATGTTCTTCTTGTCCAGGCTGGGCTCCCCCTCGCGGCTGGTGGAGCCCCTCTCCGTGTCAAACGAGGCCCCATCCAGCCACCTCCGCTCCCGCAACCTCAACACAGACTCGCGCTCACGCAACAGCTCTGAGTCGCGCTCTAAGGGAAGAAGGAGAACTGGTATGGCAATGGGGTCACACCAGCGGGATAAAAGTAAGCCACTCTCTGGGGAAGACCCGTCAACAAATTAAAGAGATTTGTTTTATAATTATGCAAATAAAACGGGTTTTGGCAGTAAAAATGTGAAAGTTAGTTAATAGTGGTGTCTGCACGCTCACATGTGGAAATGTGAGGTAGGAGGACAGATCAGGATAGATTAGCGCTAGACATGCATTATGTGGGAGAGGGTTTTTCCTACAGCATAGGGCTGCAGTAGAGAGAGGTGCCTGTTATATGACAGGGTCTAGCGGGCCTTTCTCAGAGGGCTCACTGAAGAACAGGTATTATGGCCATGCAGCACCCTGAAAACACACTACTGACACCACACACACATCAACAACACACACCCACAACACACATCCACAACAACACATCCACGTGGGCTTTGCCGACAGGTTGAAGAGGAAAGACTAGTATTGACTAACGGCATACCTCAACTATCAGGGAACTAAAAGCATATACTATGTATGGTGAAAAGTAATCCTACATCCATTTAGGTAACAGATAATGTAACTTGTTACTACTAATTCCACTACTACTATTTAGGAAGAGAAATATGATTTCAATCTCCACCTCCTGACTACAGAAGAGGACAACGGTCCCTGGGCAGCAGCTCTGAGTGTCAGGGTTGGTCAGTTACCTCGCGAGGAGCCCAGGCGGGACAGGGAGGAGCGTCTGAAGGAGGGGTAGCCGAAAGTAGCTGATGTCCTCAGAGAACATGGCGTCAGCGTCGATGATGACACTGGGGTGGGCTGAGTGGATGTCAGCATCCAGCAGAGACATCAGGTCCTCTGTAAGATCCAACACAAAAGAGAGGGATGTTTATTACATGACTATTGCTGTCCCATCAGACAAGGGTCAAACCCATGGGTTAATAAACAAGTTTGCATTTAGAATTTTGGGGACTACTCCATTGGTTCCACAAATGTAGCAAATCACAAATACCAACTAACTATACAAAACTTAGTTCTGGAGAACGCTTTCACATAACCCCGTTAAACCAGACCAAGCTGTTTGAGAGCCCTCTGCTCTTTCATACAAGGCTGCTATGTTGAGTCTTTCTCGCAAAAGAGATGATCTTAAAGAGATCAAGATGTAGAATATAATTGAAGGTGAAATAAAGTTGTACCTCCAGGGAGGTAGGACTCGCTGGCTGTGTCATCTCCATCGTCCCCGTCCTCATCGTCTCTGCTCAGCAGGTTGTTAACGGCCAGGTTGACATCCAGGTTGGTCCTCTGGAGCTCCCGGATGATCACACTCCTAGACTTCCCCTGGAGGACCACCTGAGCCTGGGGAAGAGGAGAGGCAACATGAAGATCACCACCCAGAAAACAACCATGTTGTGACTGTGGTGACTGAGCACCAGAGAGAAGTGAAGGCCATGGATTGAGGACCTTGTTATAATGAATGAGGGGCTCTGGTCAAGCAATAAAAATCGATCAAATCTGATTTGTAAAAAGTGTTTTTCTTTAAAAGGGTATATTCAGTGATATGAAATCCTCAAACGGTGGTGTCACTTCCTGAATTCAAATCAATGTCGGTGACGACAGACAGCGGGTCTAACCTGGGAAATGAGTTCCTCTGGGATGACCGAGGCAGGGATGACAGGCTGGGGCTGGCTGCCCAGGAGACCAGAGCCCCGGTCCCTCCCCGTGCGGATCACCCTGGTCTGACGTCTTGAGTCCCGGGCAGCTGTAGACGACCTCCCGGAAGAGCCTCCACCACCTCCTCCACTGACAGCTCCTCCTACACCTCCTCCCCCTGCACCTCCTACACTGCTGCTGCCGCCGCCGCCGCCGCCACCACCACCGCCTCCTCCTCCTCCTCCTCCTCCTCCTGATCCACCATTCACCCCGGAGCTCCAGCGACTCCTGTTATAGCACAAGGCGAAGGTCAGGCACAGCAGTCAGCCACACAGCAGAAACTCTTAAATCAACACAAGGCTGCCTGCCTGCACACTGGATTAGCAATTAGCCGTTGGACAGCTGGCTTTCAGAGAGAGCAGAGGTCCTAGGGTATTTACGCATACCGCAATTTGAAAGCAATAGTTTGGTAGCAAATGTATTTTGTCATTTTTGAGATGAATTTGACCACATTAAATCGTATAATTAAGGGGCTGATTATGTAACAATTGGAAGAAAAGAAAAAAAGGGGGGGGGGGGGGAAATACAATGGAGGATGGTAGATTGCTTTCACCTAGTGTTATTCAATTCAGCCCATAGCGTCAAGGCCCAATAGGTATGTTATGTTTATGCCTTTAACCTCAGAGCTGCTGCTGCTTGGGTTTAGAAGGTCCCAATTTACAGTACAACTGTGGTACAAGGTCTGATTCTGACTGCGCCATCTCATTTTACATGGACAAAACCTGAATCCTAGATAATAATAATGCCTCCAGCAATCCTCCTGCAGCCGTCTTTGTCTAGGCCTACGTAGCGCTAATGCACATGAAGCCTTATAAACGACTTTACCCGAGTGTGTCTAGGGGAGGTTTTTCTGAGAGCCCTTACTGCCAGAACTTACCCAAGGGTGTTGCCTGCCAGTCTGCCCAGTGTGTCAGAGCCAGACAGGAACCAGGGAGGATCACTAGTCCTGCCTGGCCTGGAGCTCCTTCCTGTCCCTGAACCACTGCCACTCAACTTTGAACTGGAAACAAAAGATGGGAAGACGGGAGATCAGATCAGTTACTACAAACCTAGTAGTCCCACATGATGGGACCAAAGATTAAGATGACAACCTGGGAGTGGAAATCCCAGGTTGTGGCCCATGTCTAGGGCTTTTACATGTTTATGTTTAAGGTTTAAAAAAAACAACAGGGGAAATGGTGGAGGCTAGCATGGCAACACCCTCAGGAATCAGAATTGGCTGCAACTCGTTCCGCCTTCAAGACTTATCCCTTTTTAAAGGTACTTGGGGTTTTTTAGGGCTGCGATTGCTAACTCCTACAATAAGATAATTTGATATGATCAGAGTGTATTGTGTTATATACATGTGATGCCTATTGTACATAGATGTATGAATTTGCTGCAGTCTACGTTTGAGTCAATTGCATTACATACTTGCCAACAAATCATGAGCAACGCCTGACACTGACCATAACAGCATTGTCCTGTTTGAGATTCAAACCCATTACTCTTTTGTACACACCATCTCAATATATTGTGAATTTCTTCCCAATTAAAGAATGCAGATACATTTTACTAATAGGCATTTTAGTGACACACACAAAATATAGAAACGTGTTTTATTTAGCAATTGAGTATAGTAGGCCTAACAATGAAAGGAATTGTGCAGACTTCTGCAGAAATAAAATATCAGTAATCTGTAAAAATGTACATTTGTTTACCATTTATTACAATACATAGTGCGGAGTGTGACTGGATAGTATTCCGAGAGGAAGCTTTGTTCAGTCAGCTGTCAAAGTTGCTGATTGAAAATATGCAGTGCTCGTTTCCACAGTAAGGCTTTCCAGTAACCCACAATGCGGCTGACTGCAAAGCTATTACCATCTGAAACCATCTCATTTTCTTTTGAAAAGTTCAGCTTATTTCACCATGCCAGGCAACAAAACACGTGCTCTGCAGAAAAGCTTAAAGTAAACCAGTCACATTATTTACCAGTCTTTCTCAGGCTGATTCACTTGCATGCTTTGCAACTAGAGGGCCTAGTTCACTGTTTGATGCTGTTCTGCTGGTAAGACGTATAGGGTATCAATGAAACTCACAAATACATGCTGCCCACCAACACAAACCCTACAACAGCTAAAAAAGGCATTCTTGCTCATACAAAATAAAACGCAGAAGAGCAAAGAGCAGATTCATAAATGCAATTGGCTTTCAGAACGTGGCCTATAATTTCTAAATACTAAGATACCATTGCAAGCTTTGTTTGTTTAGTTTTTGTTTGGGACAGTAAACTGTAGAGATGGAAGAAAATACCAATTACTTATCTATAAAAAATACATTGTTCATGATGCAAAACAGCTTAACACAGGTCACAACACTTTCTGGTCTTTCATTTGTCATAGTGTGTTAAGTGACCAAGTAATAACATATAATAATAATAATCCCATTTAGCAGACGCTTTTATCCAAAGCGACTTAGTCATGTGCGCATACATTTTTACGTATGGGTGGTCCCGGGGATCGAAACCACTACCCTGGCGTTACAAGCGCCATGCTCTACCAATTGAACTACAGAGGACCACAACATCATGAAACCATTCTACTAGTAGGCCTAAGTACTTAGTAAGTCCTCAATGGAACTCAACTCGCAGGACTCACCATTGCTAGGCTTCAGCATGCAGGAGTCGTGTTAAGGCAGGATTTTGCGTTTTTTTCACACAGAAAAGGAAATATAAAACACAGAAAAAATATCTTGCTGCATTTTGTAAATGCAGTTCTTAAATGCTTCTTATTGTAAATTCTGCTCGGCTTCAGTCAGGGTTCGCGCCAAATCATGAATGTAAAAGGACTCATTTTGTGCTTCAGTTGCACTTGTCCAGTCGGATGAAATATCTTTGCTCTCGTCATTGGATCACCAGACAGCGCTCTGACTGATGTGATGTGTAGGGTACTTTCCGGTGTAGTTGTTACAGTAACAAAGCAAGATTAACTTCCAGCAAAACATTAGGAAATGTAGCTGGCTACATTTTTTCTACGACAAACATTACAAATATTTTTTTGCGAAAAAAATTACTTGCTTTTTCATTGCAAGCTAATTTACTAGCCAAATAGCGTTGCACTTCTGTTGTCATCTGATGAAAAAATGTTCTGCCGAATGTGTTGCACTAATGTATTTTGTGTGAAGAAAAACGATATAGTTGCACGCCCCTTACCACTCTACTGAAGCAAAAAAACACTTGACTTTCAATATAAAACACAGGTGAAATGGTTTAAAACGCAGATTTTGTCGGTATATGTTTTGAAAATGCATATTTCAGAAAGCTAATGCAACCCCCGGAATAAAAAATATATATATACAATATTTGGCCTTGCGTAATGACCTGAATGATAATCGCAGTGATCTCCCAATGCATTTGGAGTTCTCTTAAAAACTCCATTAGGATGAAACTATTTTCCTAGTGTAAACAGTCTCACCCATCGTTGCCATCTGGTTTGGTCAGCTCCAGACGATCAGGCTGGACAGCAAAGCTGATCCGACATACACGTCCATCCTGGAAAGAAATTACTCCATATTATCAAAACAAATCAAATTGTATTTGTCACATGCGCCGAATACAACAGGTGTAGACCTTACTGTGAAATGCTTACTTACAAGCCCTTAACCAACAATGCAGTTCAAGAAATAGAGTTAAGAAAATATTTACTAAATAAAATAAAGTAAGGGGGGGGGTCAATGTAAATAGTCCGGGTGGCCATTTGATTAATTGTTCAGCAGTCTTATGGCTTCGGGGTAGAAGCTGTTAAGGAGCCTTTAATAAGTTACAAACGATGCACACAAAAAACACAGTTGGTCAGGAGCCTGTAAAACGGCAGCCATTCCCTCCGGTGCCATTACTACAGAAAAGGTGATGGCATCTTACATAAAAAAAAAGACTGCACTAACATGTTTATTTACTAATTCATGGTGCTCTTATTTTTCATAAGTAGCGCACTATAGGAAAAAGGGTGCCATTTGGGATCGCAACCGCCATCAAAATGTAGAGGCAGTACAGCTAAAACGTTATTGATTGTAATATACATAAATCCTTCGATGTTACCTCAAGCAGAAAGCCAGCATGGTTTGGTCCAACTACACACTGTTTTAAGGTAGCCTGCTCCAGCAGGTTGAGGTGTGGATGACTGCATTGAGAGAGACAGACAATGTAGGTAATGTTAACATGTAGAAAAGCTATAAGATCGCTATATATCTGTAGAGTGTGGTCCCCGCTGACAGACACATGGCTGAGTAATACATTTGCTGATAATTCCACCGTTAAAATAAAAATGTATAAAAAACATTAATGTCTTACCTGTTAAAGTTGTATTTGTTGAGTTTCTCCGACACTTCACGAAGCCTGTTAAGTATAATAAATAAGTAATAATAAAAAATTGACATTACTGAGATTGTTCATTTCCATTCACAGTGTGAATCTGTGCAATTCATGGTCTGGAAATCCATGGTCATGATACATGAGTTACTAGTCTGTACTCTGTGTAGACTCTATAAGGAGCATGGCATCTGCTTGCACATGACATTAACAAGAAGTCCGATGAGAATCTCAACTGCATGAATGCTGATGACAACAGTATCAAAATTGCTCACCAGCTTCATAAAAAAAAAGTATCTAAATAACAGTATAGCTAAACAGTTAGAGCATGGTGTGTATAACCATCTGCACTGCATTGGGACTGTTGCCTTCACTCACAGAGTACATCAGTGGGCAGGTCATTCCCCCAGTCAAAGGGACAGGGCATGTGCTGAGCTACCATTCAAAAGTTTGGGGTCACTTAGAAATGTCCTTGTTTTCGAAAGAAAAGCAATTTTTTTGTCCATTTTTATAATAACATCAAATTGATCAGAAATACAGTGTAGACATTGTTAATGTTGTAAATGGCTATTGTAGCTGGAAACGGCTGATTTTGAATGGAATATCTACATAGGCGTACAGAGGCCAATTATCAGCAACCATCAGTCCTGTGTTCCAATGGCACGTTGTGTTTGCTAATCCAAGTTTATAATTTTAAACTTTTGAATGGCAGTGTACATCCAATAGAGACATCAGTACTATTGTGACCTTTCATTTTAGTACAAGTTGATCAGAGTGATTATTTAGTACAACTCCAAGCCCATAACTGTCATCACCTTATTGCCCGTCTCTGTCACCATTCTAGACCAGCAAAATATTTGATTGTATCGAAGTTTAAAAACCACGTTGTGTAAAGCATGACAGGCTGACAGCTTTATTTCTTGTTTCAGCTCTAGCATCTATACTCTCGATGAGTGAACCAGGCACATGCCTTACTCCTTTTGCCTGCTATGAAATGACAGGTCCAATAGGGTCAACAATAGTTTAAAAAGAGCTTCAACTGCTTTAGGCTACACTACTGGAAGCATTGATTGTCATTCTAATGGCTGAAGTACAACAATGGTTATGGTCACCAGAAATTGACTCGTTAACAGGAAACAGGTGAAGTGAACAAACATTTAATTAATCCATATACTCATGGGAGCAAGTCAATACACCAAGGCTATGTTATCATACAAAATGTCAGCCACAGAAAGTGGACAAATCTTGTCAAAGATACAATATTACCTGCTGCAAATGGCAAGCCGTATGGGGTGAAAATGTAAGTAATATGACATTTCCTGTCAAGCAAGCCCAGTGGACAAGCCGATGGATGGCGATTACTTATAAGGCATGGCCCGGCCGGTTGTCCAGTGACAGTAACCAGTCCCTCAGCAGAAGATAAACAATGAGCCAGCAACACTGCCTTGATATATGAGGCACACCACCCAGAGCCATTAATAACCAACATCAACAGGACAGAAGGGCTCTTTTACTCTGCAAGAAATGTGTTTGCGTATACTAAACCTAATGTTCTCCTCCTAACATGTACAAAAATTATATTATATCCATGTGGGTCAGAGAAGAATCAGTGTCCTCAGCCGGGTAATGAAAATACATCCTGAACAGTCGAGGCACAAGCAGTCCATGAGACTGGCTTATTGTGAGTCTCAACATATTCTTGTGTACAAATATCCTATTTACTTTTGGATAAAAGTATGCCTCTTAACAACTATGGTAAGAAACAACTCTTGGGTAAGACAAATAACTGCAGTTGGTCAATAAGTACAAAACCCTAGCTTCAAATGTCATATCCTTGCTTTTAATTCAAGGTCATTCAAGATGTGCTTTTCCAAAGTCCCAACCTCTCTGTCTTAAAGTAGAACGGCCCATTAATCAGTTCAATCTCAATGGATGATATAAATAGGCTTACTATAAAATCACCTGCAGAGCAAAATACAGGTCACAATACACAGACAGTCAACTGTTCAGAGCTGGTCATTGTCTCGCTTAAGCTAACGTTATATATTATTTACACATATTTACTCACCACTTGGCCAGGTAACTACTCTGTAAAAATTATGTAATTTAAAGGCCAACTCCACCACTTTCAACCTCATTTTATTATGTCCAGCATATATGTGAAAAACGGCCCATTTCTAAGTTTTGTAGAAAAAAAAATACAAAAGTTAAAGAGTTCACCCCGATGACATCATCAAAAGTTAAAACATTTTAAAATCAGTGATTTTCAAACGTATGAGATTCGCGGTGACATGGGGACCAAGAAAATACCCACCCTTGGCCTAGAAACTCGTTGCCGGTTTTGAAAATCACTTTTTTACTTTTAATCCAACCCTGCGATGTCACAGAGAAGCATTTTATTAGGACCTTTCTAATATTTTTAAACCACAGATCATAGAATAGCGCTGTTTTCACATGCTGTATGTAGACACTGGTTTGACGCTGGAGATTATGAATATGAGGTTGAAAACTGGCTGATGTTTATTCACGAGGAACAATATTAGTTGGCCGACTAGTTAGCTAACTAACGTCGTTGGTTGACTAGATAAACAAGTCGCAAATAAGCAATCCAATGTTAGCTTACAATTGGTTGGCTGGATAACGCTACCTAGCTAGCAAGAAAATATATTGGCACAAGTGTGGCTAGCTTAGCTAACATTATCTAGCAATGACTAGCTAATATATTAGCTAGCTAATTAGCCACTTAACTAGCTAGCTACATCTTCGATGGTTCCGTCGAGCTAGCCAACTCCCTCTAGATAGTCGACAATAAGATGTCCAAAGGTAGCTGGCATGACATACACAATGTCAATGCAAAAAAACAAACAATGACGGATCATTACAACGCTATAGTCACTGACGTTCCCTCATTTTTCCCCATCCCCCAACCCGCATTGTCAGTCTTAACTTTGACCATCGGCCAATCTTTCCAGGCAGAGAACGAACGAAACAGCTCGCTTAACTGCTGCTAGCTCTGACTAGCTAGCTTATTAGCATAGCAGGCTAGCTAACGTTAGCTACGTTGAAGAGGCTTGTTCAAGATGCCGGGCCTTGCTTCAAGTACGGTAAAGTGGTCGAAAATTGTTCGATTGAAATACACATGACAATATGAACATTGCTTCGAAACAAATAGATAATCGTCGGGTATCACACCCTACACATATATATTGATTGAAACATTTATTTTCCACGCCCGCAACAAATACCTGTCATTGAGCTGGTCCTCAGTCCCGGGCAACGGGTGAACCACGAAGTGTATGGATGTCATGGATCCAATCCAAATTAACACACAAATGTGTCAAGTGTGTGGGAAATGTTATTTTCTCGATAACTGTATATGTTAGGATTCATAGAAATATTTTATGACAAAAAATCCCGAGCTTAGAACTACAGCCTCCTCACCCACATGCCGCCATCTTAACTCTACCAAGCTTCTTCGTTCTGTGTGTTGATTAACGTTAGCACACGCAAACTCGATGCTGGTTGGACCTTGAACAGAAACAGGGGAATATGTTAAACGGAACGGGATTGGTTTAGAGAAGAAAGGCAATGAAGAGAAAGGAAATGAACATTTCTAGACGTCTAGCTTGTGCTATTTTAAAAAATAAAACTGTATTGTGATAAGTCTATTGGATAGAAAGCAATAGTTTCATGGTCTCTGTTTTGATACAGACATTGTCTCTATAAAATATTTATATACATGGGTTGCCAATTTAGCCTACAGTCAAACAAGTAAGACAAAAACAGTTCCCCCAAGGGACACTGTCTGGAGCCTCTCCCTATTATAGGTCTCTAGGTCTACCCTAAATGAAAATGAAAAATAAAATAACACCAAGGGTTCACTCAGAGTTTGAGTGTGTGTTATGTGTTCATATATGATGTCTAGGTTTAGTAGGCTACAGTTGCTACTGTCTGTTTCGCATTGGTCCTGACGCAAGAGGGAGGATAATTATGGCAGTCTCCTCTCCTATAATAAAGATTATACACAATGCCTCCAGGTGCAAGATAAGGATGCACAAAGGAACGCTGCCAACAAATCCACGGCTGTTTGAGATAATCCATAATACATTTGGAGCTCTGTTGGGATTTAGCAAACAATGACAACAGGCGCTTCCTCTGACAATGACAAAACAGGGTCAATAGAGCAAACAAAATAATGTCTTACATTCAGACGTTTCCTTTCCACTCTGTCATTACTTTTCTGATTAATAAACATTCTCTGTTATGCAAACTGGTATGTGGATACTATAACATGGAGATTGATGATCACTGTCCAGTATGGCTTTCGTGTAGGTAGGTGTATATTAACCAATGATTGTATCCCATGCCATGTATAATCCCCATGCTCCCTCTGCTGGTTGACGTTCCCGCAGCTCAAGAGAGGAATTACCCACTGGGCACAGATTTAGTTTTGATTTACATTTGGTTGAGTTGTCAACTAACGTGAATTAAACGTGAAATCAAAAAACATTTGTCATTGGATTTAAGTTAAAAGTTGGGCGAAAAAATATGAAATTCTCTTATATTGATGACTTTTTGCAAATCCAATCAATTTTCCATTTTGATTCAAAGTCATCACATTTAATTTTTTGTTTGAAATGACGTGGAAACAAAGTTGATTCCGCCATTTTTTTGCCCAGTGGGTATAGTGGCGTGATGGGAAAGTTCAACAGATATAGCGATTGTCTATAGACCTTTAGTAACCACTGTCAAAATCATACATATGTCACATGTTCTATCAAAAGTGTTTTCTATTTTAATGCATTTATAAAACATTTACTTCCTGCATTTCAACACATAGAAAAAATTTGCAGTTTTCTAATGCTATTCTAGACATTTGTCATGAGGCTATGAGAAAATGTTGCATGTCTACACATGTTACCATGTGTCAGAGAGAAAAAAGTGCTGTTTTACAGTGCTTCTCATGCTATTGCTCACATTTTGCCATGAGGCTGAGAGAGAATTTGGACATTTTAAATTCAACACATGTTGCTATCATAAGTTATCTGGGTGGCCCCCAACCTCCAGGGGGCCCACAACCCAATTTTGTAAATTCTTTTTTGGGGGGTTGGGGGCCCCTAGGGGGTCGGGGCCCTGCATGCCTGTTTGGTAATCCAACCTAATATTTAAATATCTACACATGAAAATGTAATATATTAAAGAGACAGAATAACCAAAGGGACACTGTATTAAAAATGCAATTCCTCTTTCTGAAATAATCGGAAATGAGGGAAATTGACAATAGAACAGCAGAGTAACCTTAGGCCAGCCTAGCTACAGTAAAGGGCACCCCTGCACTGCTTGATTCATGTTGCCCTGGATACGAGTGCTGTGCTGGCCTAATTATGGCAGAACCCCTGAAAGCGGCATGGCAGCAGGAACCAAAGGTATAATTATTTCAGCGGCTTTCGCTACACCTCCAGTGTGTGGGACTATATGTTACAGTACATATTTTTGAAGGAAAATAATGTACAAAATTTGATAGACCTGGTGCAGTTTTTTAGATAACTATTATGTAGCAGAAGCATTGATTGCATGTAGCTTAGAAACAGTATAGACCTATGGTATAACCTCCTGAGTGGCGCAGTGGTCTAAGGCACTGCTTTGCAGTGCTAACTGTGCCACTAGAGATCCTGGTTCGAATCCAGGCTCTGTCGCAGCCGGCCGCGACCGGGAGACTCATGGACGGCGCACAATTGGCCCAGTGTCGTCCAGGGTAGGGGAGGGAATGGCCGGCAGGGATGTAGCTCAGTTGATAGAGCATGGCGTTTGCAACACCAGGGTTGTGGGTTCGATTCCCACGGGGGGCCAGTATAAAAAAAAATAATGTATTCACTAACTGTAAGTCGCTCTGGATAAGAGCGTCTGCTAAATGACTAAAATGTAAATGTATGTCTTTCTGGGTTACTTGAAGTTCGTTTTTTATACCAGCAGATGGCAGGCTTTGTCTTTCACTTTTTGAGAAGTGTGTTGTTGGCTGCTGATTGAGTATCCCAAAGACAGAGCCCTTATCCTACCGTTATGATATATTACTTTTTACATTTTAGTCATTTTAGCAGATGCTCTTATCCAGAGCGACTTACAGGAGCAATTAGGATTAAGTGCCTTGCTCAAGGCCACAGATTAGTACCCAATAACGCTTTGTCAAATCACAAGTATTTGCCTGTTTCTTAATTTTTAAAAACTTTTCCAGGAAATATTGTCTTTTATGATCACAGTATCAGAGGAAAAAATTATTTATGAAGGAATTTAATACAGAAAATAAAGATTTCTATATTTCTCAAAAAATAAAAGATACAGTATATGCTCTGTGTTAAAAAAAACTAAAATAATTGAAAATGATACATCTGTGTTCTCAGGGTATTCAATTATCTCAATCAATCAATCACATTTAATTTACAAAGCCCTTTTTACATCAGTCACAAAGTGTTATACAGAAACCCAGCCTAAAACCCTGAACAGCAAGCAATACAGTTGTAGAAGCAACTGCTCATTTGAATGACAAAGAGAGGCACATGGGCAATGCTGCAGGTTTGTCTGTTTGTCATCACTTTCTTCTTCGTTATCAGCCTATATAGAGAAAATGACCAATACTCTGACATTCATGCCTGAGAGCTCCACTTCTCTCTGCCTGCCCTGGCCCTGAGGTGAACAAGTGGAGAGAGAGAATCCTTCAGCTGACAGAGAGACTCTCTCATTCCCTCAGAATCAACATAAACTGCAAAGTTCCCAGAGAGCCAGCTGCTGTGATCTGCTTCACACTCACTTGCTTTCTTCAGTAAAGTTAGATTTGGTACAGCTGGTTGACAATTCTCTCAGTGGTATTGCAAAATGTTTCTACAAAAAAAGAAAAAACATGAGGGTAAATCTGGTTCATGTGGCCATTGGTCTGGTACTATGCATACACATAAAGTAAATGTGAGGTGACCATGTTTTAGTTTATTATGTTGTGTTATAACCTCTATGGTCTATGGTTATAACAGGTTTATAACAAATATTAACAATTTGTTTTTTACTTTCTCTTCAGGTTCGCCACATTTTTGTATTTCAATTGTCAGTGGCAAGGCACGTTATTTAGGGGGGGGGGGGGGGGGGTCTTAGTTTACGTGATGAAATACATTGTTAAGATGTTGTTAAAATAGTTGGATGACTAAACACTGAATATTCAGATGATGTATATATTTAGCAGATTATGCTTGCTTAACTGTCTGACAAGACATTTCCCTAAAAATATCACCTGCAGGATAATTTCCAGGAGTTAAACTGAGATTGAATAGCTGGTGAACTGTCTCCAAAACATGTTGCTTTTCCAGAAATCCACTGTGTGCCTCTATGTATTCCTACCTGAGGTTGTTGAACTCCATGCCAGTACCACTCTGTTGCCCCTAATCCTTACCCACTGGGCACAGATTTAGTTTTGATTTACATTTGGTTGAGTTGTCAACTAACGTGAATTAAACGTGAAATCAAAAAACATTTGTCATTGGATTTAAGTTAAAAGTTGGGCGAAAAAATATGAAATTCTCTTATATTGATGACTTTTTGCAAATCCAATCAATTTTCCATTTTGATTCAAAGTCATCACATTTAATTTTTTGTTTGAAATGACGTGGAAACAAAGTTGATTCCGCCATTTTTTTGCCCAGTGGGTATAGTGGCGTGATGGGAAAGTTCAACAGATATAGCGATTGTCTATAGACCTTTAGTAACCACTGTCAAAATCATACATATGTCACATGTTCTATCAAAAGTGTTTTCTATTTTAATGCATTTATAAAACATTTACTTCCTGCATTTCAACACATAGAAAAAATTTGCAGTTTTCTAATGCTATTCTAGACATTTGTCATGAGGCTATGAGAAAATGTTGCATGTCTACACATGTTACCATGTGTCAGAGAGAAAAAAGTGCTGTTTTACAGTGCTTCTCATGCTATTGCTCACATTTTGCCATGAGGCTGAGAGAGAATTTGGACATTTTAAATTCAACACATGTTGCTATCATAAGTTATCTGGGTGGCCCCCAACCTCCAGGGGGCCCACAACCCAATTTTGTAAATTCTTTTTTGGGGGGTTGGGGGCCCCTAGGGGGTCGGGGCCCTGCATGCCTGTTTGGTAATCCAACCTAATATTTAAATATCTACACATGAAAATGTAATATATTAAAGAGACAGAATAACCAAAGGGACACTGTATTAAAAATGCAATTCCTCTTTCTGAAATAATCGGAAATGAGGGAAATTGACAATAGAACAGCAGAGTAACCTT